TTAGTTTCCATATATGGGCTCTCGATAAAATAGTTACTGAGGAAGATCTTGAGAACATTGAACAAGAAATTAATGGAGGTTGCCATAAATGCAACGACTTCCTCAGCTAACACATCTACTGCCGTGCGGAACGTCCAGACCAGTTGCGTGACAATTATGTGGCCAACAGATTCTGTATAGTTTGTGAAAAACATTGTAGTGCAGCTCATTCTTTTGGATCCTGTGGCAACGATGTCCATGCTATTTGTCGAATACCCAATGAAGCAGACGAAGGGTACGGAAGGAACATTACCTGCAGATTGTGTCACAACAAACAAGACATCATGGAACACAGGTCAGCAGCACATACTGGCTTGCAAACTCAAGGTGCTAAGATGCTTAAAACATCGAATACAAAATTTAAAGATGGTGAAGTGGGTGACAATGTACGCATCCGTTTTCCAGATGTTGACAGAGGTCACGGTGATCCCCGAAGCGTGATTGCAGTTGTCATGTGCGTCGAGGGCGGTTTCTACAAATTAGGAACGGCACATGGTGTTCTAAAACAACTGTATGCTAAAAGTGAGTGTTCAATTCTTCACGAAAAACTGCTCTTATTGTCGTAAGTTGGCACTGAGGAAAAATCACTACGAACCATCGCATCTTCACAATCATTGACTGGGGGCCAAGGCTACACTCGCTGCAATTGCACAACTAAGTGCACAACAAATCGCTGCAAGTGTAAAAATAACAAGCTGCTATGTAATGATGATAACAAATGATGATATTGATAGATTGAGACTATAGTACAATAAAAAATTTGAATATTTCTGTCATTTACTTTAATTAATAATCAATAAAGACTTAATTTCATGATCCTTAAGGCATAAAAAAAAAAAAATCTGCTCATGATCTTCTAATTCGAACTTTGGCCGGTCGACCCTAGCCAGATGATCTTCTAATTAAGACTTTGGCCGGTCCAGCATGGCCAGTCCGCGGACTGGCCGGCCAAAGGCCGAAATCAAGCAAAGTTTCGGACTTTGACCGACCTATGGGAGGCAATATTGGCCAATGCGCGGATTGGCCGGCCAATCCTAGCATTGGCCGACTTCGGGCTTTGACCGTAACATATATATATATATATATATATATATATATATATATATATATATATATATATATATATATATATATATATATATATATATATATATATATATATTTAGACCCCCTTTTCGTTGACCTCGTGGCCGATCAGCATTTGCCCCCCGTGTTCTATCGGCCCGAGGCGCCGGGAAGTACTCAAGCCGGCATCCAACTACTTTACTTTATAAATATAGATTAAAAATGTATTACTTACGAAAGATATCTGACAACTTTTAAAAAAAATCATTTTACCTTTACTTTTTATTCCAAAAACATAAAATGAAATTGAACCTTAATAAACAATATAGATTTTTGTGATACGAAAACGGCGATTTCAAGTGTTAAAGGTTTTCACCAACCAATTGAATATCAAGCGCAACGCAGACCTGCGTGGTGGAGGTGGCACATGTCTAAACGAACGGTAAATCTTAACCAAAGTTTGGTCTCGAATCTCATCAATGGTTGCGACAAGTGCTCTGAGGCCATGAATGGCGGACTAACCTCAAATACATGGCTACTCTGCATAAAGCGTAAAAATAGAATAACGAATCAATACCAACTCGATACTGTCTTTGCTTTATTCATAACGAAGCATGTTTTTAATGACGAAGTATGGTTTTAACTTTTGCATATTTTATTCATTTGTATTGTCTCTATCTCCTTGTAAAAAAAATATTAAGTTAAAGTGAAAGTGTTTTCTTGCATTTGCGAGTGTATGTGCTAGTGTTTATGTATAATATGTGTTTCTGTGCGTACCTATGGTTGTGTGTAAAAGAGTGAAGATGTTTATTTTAAACAAGAGCAAATTGTAATTTATTTCGCAAATTTATTTTCTTTCTTTCTTTCTTTCTTTTTTTCTTTCTTTCTTTCTTTCTTTCTTTCTTTCTTTCTTTCTTTCTTTCTTTCTTTCTTTCTTTCTTTCTTTCTTTCTTTCATCCATTCTTTCTTTCATCCATTCTTTCTTTCATCCATTCTTTCTTTCTTTCTTACCTTTTTTTCAATTCTTTATTTTCTATCTTTGTTTCGATCGTTTACTCCAGCTTTTTTCCTCTCCTCAACTCTGTGAGGTCATCCATATATGACGTCACGCTTTTTTAGATTCCCCCCCCCCCATCCCCCTACGACTTTCTAGATTCAAGAGTTTTAGTATAAGTGGTGATAACCATTTCGGTCCGGAAAAAAAAATCGACGGTCCTATCAAAGGGAGGATATACATGAATTTTGTTGCCAAGTATAAAATACTTGAAATTATTTCCCTTTTTATAAGTTAATAAGTTTGCCAAGAAAGCCACTTTTTAGCTTTATGTACGTGTTTGCAACTAATGAGAGAAAAATAGTCACCACTAAGTGAAATGATAAGTAAAACACTAGAAAACGTTATGAATGGATTCAATTTATTGTCAGTGGCGAACTAGAAAAAAGGATATCCCACAATATATATATATATATATATATATATATATATATATATATATATATATATATATATATATATATATATATATATATATATATATATATATATATATATATATAGGCCTATATATATATATATACAGTAGCGTACGCAGGGGGGGAGCAGGGGGAGCGGCCGCTCCCCCTGTGACCATTTTCAGCAAAGTGGCGCCTTTTTGGGAACTTTTTAAACTCAAAGTTTTAAACAAGGATATTTGTTAAAAAATATTTTTGGTCGGCACATCTATGTAAATCACAAGATTTCTTTTCATGCAGCAATTAAGCATTATTGTACTAGTCTAGTAGTGTCTACCTTTACAACACGTATTAACAGCTGCATCAGTTTGCCATTCTAAAAAGTATTCTTACAGTTTGGGCTATTGTGATACGATTACAAATTATATGAAACAGTTACAACCCCTCTTCCCCATGGAGCCCTCTGTAAAAAAAAAAATATTGTCATAATACCACTGCTACTTATTTAAATCTATTTCTGAATCAGTATACATGTGTAATATATATGTATGTTTAGAACAGTCATCTAAAAACTGACGCCATGTTCACTCTGAGTTGGTTACCCCCCCCCCCCCCCCACACACACACACACACCTCACCACCACAATTGTGTAGAGCGACATTAATGTCACACCTAGGTATACACTGGGTTGGATAATTGACCTAAAGTCACCTAAAGTGACCGGACAGTAAAAAGGTGTGTGAGCAATACAGTGATCTAACCCATACCTATCACTATGTCAAAAAATGATCTTTGAGGAACACAAGAAGTAGTACTTAATTGAAAAAATATATGATATGAACTAAAATTCGGCGCCTTTTTTTGCTCTTTTCGCTCCCCCTACTACGAAAACCTGGATACGCCTCTGTATATATATATATATATATATATATATATATATATATATATATATATATATATATATATATATATATATATATATATATAAAACAAAACTAAACATTACGTGTTTGTCGATGACGCAGTTAAAAAAAATACCACGCAGATACTGATGACGAAAGAGTGGTGTAAATTCTAATGAGATGAGAAAAAAAATTAATAATGACGTAAGCTCGTAATTATAGGTACGCCTAGACATTTATTGTGTAAAATTGCCGACGCAAATGTTTTGATTGATAACTGAAGTTAGCTAGTGTGCTATTTTCCTGATCAATAAAATGTTTCCATTCCTAATTTCCCACTAATAACTTGTTTCAAAGCTGGCATTACAGTTAATTGCATTCAGAGGCGTAGCGACGGGGGGGGGGGGGGGGTACATATGTCCCCGGGCGCCGACCCTAGGGGTGCCAAAATAAGCTCATTTAGCTGCTATTATAATTATAAATATAAAAAATATATGGGAGGGGGCGCCAAATTGAAAGTTTGTCCCCGGGCGTCGAGAGAGGTCGCTACGCCTCTGATTGCATTACTGACTTTGTGTAGATATCTGTAAAGAAAAGTGAGATAAAGATCGACAGCATTGCCGATGAATGGGAGTCATCCATAGACGACGTCACGTTTTTTTTTCACGTTTTTTATTTTATTTTTACCTCACCTCCTCCCCTCCCCTCTCCCCCCCCCCCACCCCGTCACACATCGTCACAAAAAAGCTAGACCTCCAAGCGTTAAAATGAGATTCACACTTCAGCCAACAACCCCCCTCCCCTCAATATTTCAGTTGAATTTTTCTTTAAAACATCGATATTTTTCTAAAATCTTGTCTGAACTCTGTCAACATAGAGTAGTTTAATCAATTCCTATTACAATTTATTAAAACAGTTTTCTAGAAACTCGTTTTCTAACAGCATCTGAACCCCCTCCTCCCCCTTGTCACAAAATTAAGGACCCCCCTCCCCCTACGAGTGTTACTTCATGTATGGACAAGGGGTCATCCATAAATGACGTCACACTCGCAGGGGGAGGGTGGGTCCGGAATTTTGTGACGATGTGTGATGAGGGGGAGGGGGGGGGGGGTCAGATGTTACGACGTCATATTTTTGCATTATAAAAAAGCAATGTTAGAAAACGAATTTTAGACGTTATTTCGCGTTTTAGATAACTGTTTTAATAAATTGTAATAGTTTAGACAAGATTTTGGAAAAATATCAATGTTTTAAAAAAATTCAACTGCAATTTTGAGGGGGGTTGTAGGTTGAGGTGTGACGTCATTTTAGGTGGGGTGTCTGGCTTTTTGTGACGAAGTGTGACGGAGGGGAGGGGGGAGGTAAAAATCGTCAAAAAAAGCGTGACGTCATTTATGGATGACCCCCCCCCCCCCCTCCAAACCCTATATGCGTCTAGTCGAAACGCTCCCTAGGCCTACGCGGCTTCGCCTATTTTGATTCGGGCAAATGTAACCGGAAATTAAATTTAGAGATCTATGTTTTTATTGGAAACAGGGGAATCTACTACGAATCATAACGCAAAAAAATTTCTACAGAATGGCGGACTCAGAACTGGAAGCGATTCGAGCGAGACGAATGGCTGAGCTACAACAACAGCAGGTTTAACTTTCATTTTCATGATTTACTTTTATACAGTTTAAAAAATTAATTTGCACGTAAATGACTACAGTACTAAAGTAGCAAAACCCTTCGCACATTTATTTACAATTATTGAAACAGGAAAGAGAGTGAGGTGTAGCAAATAACAAAAACTCAATTCAGCCAACTGTTTTTACTTAGTTTTATGTAGATCTACTGTTATTGTTGGCCAAGTCGTCATTTTGGTGAAAATATGTAATCTTCATCGGTAATCTATCGCTTTAGCGTAATCAATTCGGCCGGCTGTAGTAATGTGCGGGAGAGGTGACGGATGAATATATTTTTTTAAATAAGTGTATTTATGTCAAATTTTACAAAATATGACAGCTAATTGATTTAAAATAACAATAAGTGACCAAAACAATTTAAAATAAAATGAAACTGACTTTAAACAAGATGTTTGAGATAAATATAAGCACATAAAAACATCGGCCATCTTTCCAAACAAAATTAGAGTAGTTTCCCTTGAAAAAAAATGTCTATCTGTATGTATATTGTGTTGACTTTTGTTGTTTATATTCTTAGCTGCCTTGTTTGATATAAGTAAGACATTGGACCGCCTTCTCTTCTTCAAATTTCAATTGACTTCAAAAACTGTTCGAAGTTCCAACATTTAAACCTTTTTTTGCACTGATTTATTTGTCAGTATTAGGTCGTCCATAAATGACTCAAAATACAGGAGGGGTAAAATAATTTAAAAAGAAATATTTTTATACAATAAAAATTGATGAAGAACAGGTTGTTTTTTTTCGTTAGAAATGGTGATTTAGGGTTGGGGGGGGGGGGGTGTCGCAGAGCTTTGCTATATGATATTAAACCAGCCACCTGGTATTTTAGTTACCATTAGGGGAGGGGGAATCGATTTTTTCATTCGTCGATGTTTATCTCTGCCTACGATCTTTTGTTACAAAAAAAATAATTAAAAATACGCCGCCGCTTCATCCCCCATTTGGCACATCCTCGCCAATTTCACGGCGCGCGTGACGTCATTTACGGCTGGACTAATTTTAAAGAAAGAGATGCAGTAATTTTTAAGAAAATCAAAAAAAGGTACTACATTGTTTGGACTTTTGTTTAACGAATGATGTCTAGCTCGATACATGGTGTTAAATTAAACATGGCGGCGTGCGGTTCTCCGCCCACCTTATTCGTCCATACGAATTTGTGTGATTTTAATCTGCAGAGCAGTCTGGTTAAAACCTTTTTTTCACGAGGAGTATATATGTTCGGGCCTGTTAGTCGGCAGGTTTTTTTGGCGGGGATGATGTGTGTACATCGTTTAACACGTCTAAAGATTGCAGGCTTGCGATAGTTACAATCATTCGTTGTGAACAAGGTATGCATAAACACTAACGTTTGGTGTTATCACAGTCATTGAACTTAGCAATATAGAAGTCTTGATTACGTACACGCCTAAGGTGACGACACAGACCCTCTCCCTCCCGTAGCATATCCTATGCGACAGCATTTATGGACAGTCCCATATCACTCATTGTGAGTATTTAATATCGACATTTTGACAATAAATATTCAAAATGTGTCTGAAAGACTTGAGGATCGATCATACATAACATCACACACCTAAATGAGTAAATGATTTTTGAGACATTGATTTACGTCTAAAACGAAAATGATGAAAATCACAACTACGCAAAAACGAGGGGTTACCGGTTTAGCGTAATTGCTTTTTCTCAATATTATGCACTACATGTAAAGCATAATTATAGATTTTTATTGAAAAAATAATAGTATTTTATTAAATCGGAGCGTGGAATGAACAGTTTCATGTAATAACACTCAAACTCATAATAATGATAACATCAATACTGAAAGTCATAAAAATACTTAGAAAAACAATGACAAAAGTCATAACAATGCTGGATAACAATCTGCTACTTAGTTCAGATGCTGTCTTACTCTTAAATAGTTCAACAAATAATCACATTCATAAACAACGAGACAAACTCAATAAACATGACAAATATTCTTAAACTGGATATTGTTCCGCAATGATGAGCAGAAACTTAGCAAAAATGTTGTCATGGGCAAATCGGCTTCGAAATTCGATTTCCCGAAGGTAAGATGGAAACAACTCACGAGTAGTGCCGAACTGTCTCTTAAGCTTCCTCTTAGCTCGCATCCAGAAGTTTTCAATATTCTGAGTATGAATCTCGGCATCGAGTGGATGGACAAAGTTGCGGTCATGAATTACGACTCCATGCTCGTAAATACCATGGGCTAGTTGTGGAATGTTTCTATACGCTGCCCAACCATCAGACATGATACGGGTCCCAGGAAGAATGTGACGAAGTATTTCTGCTTCAAGGGTTGCTGCATCGCGATTTGGTACTTCTACCAGAAAACAACGCCCCGATCCTCGCTCGATTCCACCGAACACCCAATGTCCTTCACGCCATTGTCCGCGATTGTATTTACGGTGGAAATACTTGGTTTCGTCAATCTCGACAATCACAGAATCGCCGTTAGCATCGAAGCCCCCGATTTGGGTAGCGTTTCGATCTAGATATACACCAATGTCTTCCCTACAGAAATTGAACCAGTCCACAATGGTATTGGGGCGAAGAATGTCTTCCTCTCTCAAGCCTTATTGTTGTCGTTGGGGCACCACAGCAGACATTATAATTCTCCCATTGCCGTCCTCTGCCGCTCTGATTAGTTCCAATCCCTGATGTCATCCACCCAGTGTTGCCTACCCAGCCCTGAACACCTTAAGCTCAAGGGTCGACCCATTGTGCTTCCAGCTTTTATTAGCTGCCTATTTTTCCAGTGGTCGGTGTTTACCCCTCCCCACAATTTATCATTACAAAAACAAAAACACCCACTATATAATGAGATTTCAAAGTTCGGGTCCATGTAAAAAAAAAAATCTAGATCGACCTATAGTTGTAGGAGAATTAGAATCCATCAGTTAGGGGTCGTCCATAAATGACGTCACACTCAAATGGGGGAGGGGGGGGGGGGGTAAAAAAATCGTCAAAACAAGCGTGACGTCATTTATGAATGACCCCTTACCTATCGTCTTTCCTATACTGGGTCTTAATACCGCCGTTTCACCCCCCCCCCCCCCCACTTAGAAACAACAGCCTCACCAAGTTCACGGCGCGCGTAACGTCATTTACCGCTAGTTCATTTTAAAGAAAAAGACCGTAATTAAAAAAAGTACTACGCTGTCGGGACTTCTGCGACGTTTTGTCTGGCGAATAGATCTCAATGAAGTTTAAATCGATACATTATAATGGTGTTAAATTAAATATGGTGGCATGTAGTTCGCCCGACAGACCCCCCCCCCTCTCCAGTAGCATTTGGGTATTTGGTATCGACATTTTGACTGGTAAAAGTATATATTTTCTACACAAAATCCATTTCGTTAGGGGGGAGGGGGGCAAAGCCCGCCTGAAGAAATGCCTAGAAGAAACTCTGATGGGGATCTACCATAAAAGACAACGCACACTTAACGGGTGTAGTAACTGGCACACTTAACGGGTGTAGTAACTGGCTTTTGAGACGATGTTTTACTAGGGAAGGGTGTGTAAGAAATAAGAAATGGTATGAAGTGAATAGAGGTCATAAAACTGGACGCCATTAACGACTGAATCACATAAAATGGAAATAGCAAACAAACAATAAATTATAAGCTCCAACTATTATTTAAATAAACATTTACATTAGATCTAGTAGTAGCTCTACACAAAAAAAAAACGTAGCTTTCTATAAAAGTTACATCTCACAATAATTCTAGAACTGATGATTATTGTCAGTCAATAGAATTTTTAAATGGAGGAATTTTTAAGAGAAAAAAACCCCTCCAGCCTATGTATATGAAAACCAGGCACCCGTGTTTAATAGCGAAAATCATTACATTTTCATACAAATAGAAATCAAAGGGAATCTACTCGAAATAATGTGTTTTTAAGATGGCCGCTGTTTTAAATAGTAAATTTAGTATCTGGAACTTCGTTGTTAAAAGTGAATTTCAGGACATTTTAATTGATTTAGCCTTTAATTGTAATTTATTATTCAATTATCTATAGTATTTTATCATAATATGCAAAAATATACTCATATTTAACTCATATTCATTAGTTACCTTACAACTACATTACTACTTCAGCCGAATTGATTACGCTAAAACGATAGATTACCATCTTCATCAGTACATCGTTATTTAAAAAAAACTTAGATTTAGGCCTAATGTGCCAACCTGCTTGTTATGCGGCATGCGCTTTTTTTTGTGGCATGCATATAGTTATAAAATATAATATAGGCCTAACAGGCCGTTGACTCCGATTTCAGCCTTCTTTCTTTGTGGGTTTGCTTCCATAGCCTTTGTCCAATGAAGAACAAACTACAAGGCAGCAGTTGTTTGATTTTGGAGTTTTCTCTCCAAGAAGAGTTGCTGTCTAGCCTCTTCTGCCCAAGGGTTTGAATCCAAAACTTTTCAGTTTAGCAACCATGAGCTTTACAGACTCGGCCATGCTGACCCCTTTTCACACACTGTTAAATCTAATATTTAATATTTTGCGTCATCCCTTTGAATCCCGATCAGAACGTCCCCCCAGCGTGGCCTCAACCTACCGCGGGGGCTTGTTGCATTGAGTTAAAAACAATAATATAAACAATCTCCTTTCAGTCGGTTAGGCCACATACCATGCATGTACAATGTTGTGTGTCGTGCCTTAACCAAGACAAACTATCTCCCTTTGTATCATTAGCGATATTTAGGGGCCTAAATAGTTAATAACTAATTTATTTTGTACTGTACTATAATTTTTAGTTATATTTCAATACCTTCTACTGTCTTCTACCCTTCTTGAAATTTTAACCCGATTTGTAAAGAAATGCTGTATGCCGTGAGGGGGCGGGTGGGTAGGGTAAATTCTCATTGGAAAAAAATCCACCATGGTGTTGGCCTTGGATGACGTTGTTGGGGCATGCGAGGAAACTTTTTTTTTTCAAACAAGAACCAGTCTGTAATGAAAATCAAGGTCAAGGAGTGGTATTTTCACGATGTATTGAGGATTGAACAGTGTTCATGCAGCCTAGAAAACGCATGAAATTTTTAAAATTGTAAAATCCTGGAATTCTCATGAATTTTTCACTGATGTTTTCAGTTAAATATTTTTGCTAAAAATTAGATCTGTTATAAAATAATGTCGTTCTTTGAAGAACAAATACATCAGCTGAGCCCGGTTCGTGTTTGATACAGCTTCTTTTAGGAAAAACAAAAATGACGTCACTGCCAATCTTAAATAGCAGTGATACTCTTGCTGTGATGGCGCTCTAGGCCTACTATATTCTGACCTCAATTGAGATAACTGCGACCTTTGTACCTTTTCTTTTGGGGGGGGGGGGGGGGGGGGGAGAGATACCGGTGACAAATTGTAAAAGCAGTCTGACTCAACTACTTCAATTAGGCTAAAAGCATAAATAACGATGTGGTTTGGTTATTATCAAGGTGGTAATTTTTAGCTCCAATGTTTTTTCAAGTAGTTTCAAAACACCGCTTAAAATAATTAGTAGACCCCTTCTAATTTAAACTTATCGGGTCTAGGTCTATAACATTTTCCATCACATGAACTAATACTTTCTTAATTTTAAAATCTCCTGGAATTTATTTAGAACTCCTGGAAATCTCTTGGAAAACTCATGGAATTTATTTTTAGTTTTGGAGCATGAACCCTGATTGAAGTTGCTCTTCATTGTTGCAAATATTATTCACCTTACATACTTTTGTTCTAAGCAATTTAAGAGCATTTAGTTCTTTTAATGATTATTTGAAATAATGAATACTAAACAGTGAAGTAGCTTTAAGTCTATATATTAATGTAAAAAAAAAATATATAAAACTTGATGAAATGAACATTTGATAAAATCAGTTATTCTCCATACCATAATATTCATGTTACATGTGTAGACAATATTTTAACCCTTTTAGGTTTGTCCTTTAAATGTGTTGATAAGATTTCTTAATATTTTTGTTCATAACTTTTTTTTATGTTTGCAGGGCAAAGGGGGAGGAGGGGGTGAAGCTGATCAGAGAGCCAAGGAGCAAGAGATGAAAAATGTCATACTTGGTCAGGTGTTAGAGCAAGGAGCGAGGACAAGATGTAAGCATTACCTCCCCTATTATCTAAAGTTTTTACTTTGTATAACTAAGCATCTGTTTATTATTATTCACTTCAATTTGTTTCAGTAAATTTACTAGTTATTTTTATTCAACCTAATTTGAATCAGTAAATATTATAGTCAGGTGTATATTTCATTTACATTAATCGTGATGTGTAGGCCTGCAATAAATATTTATTCTTGTCCTGTTTTGTTTCAGTAAACACAATAGCTGTAGCCAAGCCAGAAAAAGCCCAAATGATAGAAAATTTAATTATTCAAATGGCAAGGTCTGGTCAGTTGCAGGGTCAAAAGGTAGAACATTCTTTAGGTTATTTTTTTAATTTAGTCAGTATTCCTGTTATTTGTATTCGCATGGAAATCAATCCCACGTATTATGTGACACGATCACTCAATCAATGTTTGCCTATTGTAAAACAAGTTTATGTGTAGGTGAGTAGACAGGAAAGAAATGCTACCACCTAGAAGTATTATCACACATAATCAATCTTTTGAACAGCAAAGAAGAAAAAGGAAACATTATTGATGATAAGGGATTGACCATTGTAGTTTATGATTTTTTTTTTCTATGTCAGTAATTGTTTTATGTAATATCTTAACCGCTGTCATAATTTCATATTAGTAAACATAGTTATGTTTATATTGAACAGTTGCCAGCCTCAATGAGAAAAATAAGTTAGCATATGATTGATGCAGATGTTTAAAATAATAAACAAATTACAGTTACAGTTTAAATTTTGCACTATTACTAACGATTGTAATTGTAGAGAAAAAAGTAATTTTTGATAAAACATTTTAAGTATTTTCTCTACCAGATTTTTTTAACCAACTAGGAAGCTGACATTCAAAAATTAAAATAATTTGATACCAATTTATCAAAACAATTACTAATCTGTCTTTCAAATTAACAGAGAAAGTAAGTGGTGATAGAGCTTGCCTCTTACAATACATATACTTTTTAATTTTAAGAAAATTGTTACATATAAGCAAAAAAGGCTGCATTTTATTTATAAATCCACCTTTTCAGCTGTCTGAAGAACGGCTCAAAGATTTGTTGGAGCAAGTGAGTAATTCAACACAGAAGAAGACAACTGTCAAGGTAAGCTGTTTGATCAGCCTATTAGTGTTAACACTGTGGGATTTATTTTTGAATCTAAATTTTGTTTAATCATTTTTATGTATTAAATTTTGTGGTTTTATTTTAGGTCTTTTATTTCAAATCTAAATAGATTATATTTGTTTGATAACTATTCTATATATCAAATTGAATATAAAATTGTTTTAAATGACTCCTGTTTTATTTTGTAATTTGAAAAAGGCTTACGTTTTATTCTTTGATTAAAACAAGTTAAATTCTGTAAGTTTGCAAGATCTATGTTCTAAGATGTATTTTATTCCATGAATAAGAGATGTATTGTTTCTCTAGTTTGATCGTCGTAGAGCACACATGGATGATTCTGACGAGGATTACTAGCCCCTGGTGTGATACTGTAACTTGTGTGCCTCTGTCCTGGGAGTGATGCCATGGTGTCTGAACACAAGCACCTGAATACAAGTTTTGGCTTGCTAGTGTTGCATGGGAACATTTGTAGCACCGCCTGCATGGTTTTTGTTTGTAAAATAATTTTAGCCCTTTGTTTTAGAGGGAAAAATTCTTTACTAGAAAAAAAAATCATAGCATATTGCTATGAATTACTTCCTTCTTTTTTATAGTTGTTTTCTTTAAAGTGTTTTTTTTTTTTACATATTTGTTTATGCCTAAAAAATTCTTTTTAAAAATTCTTTTTTTCTGAGGGTCCTATTTTTAACTTAGTTTGAACTGTAAGACATAAACATGAACCACACTAAATTTAATATAAAGCTTGTAATTACAAAACAGTATTTAAACAGTTTTGTTTGGTACAAAAGCTAAAGTTATTGATAATGCATTACAGAACAATGATGTTTGTTTGCAATCAATGGTGGTTGAAGATGTAGATTTGTCCCCTGGTCAAATGGTTTAGGTTATAATAACATTTGTTCTCACATGTAAATTTTCATAATCTTGTCAGGTATAAAATTCATCGGTCAAGTAACTTAAGTGTTTATCGCATAAGCACGGTAACTGTTTTGCTTATGGTATAAGTACAGTAACTATGTTGCTAATGGTAAAACTGTTGCCGACCCAACTCAAGCTAGAAAAAGTAGGTTTTCTTAAAACATTATCCTCTCCCCAGAAATGAAATAAGTAAATTTAAAGTGTGTGTGGATGGTTGGTCAGTGTAACTTATTTGATTGTGTGCCTCAGAGTTGTGTTTTTAAACTATTTTTCTAATGATACACATCTTTAAATTGTCCTAGCTTTTCATTAACAATAATTGCAAATAAGATAAGACTGTAAAATGCTGTAGAATCATCTCAGTTACATGTTTGTATACTAAAAAAATATTAAAATTTTCATACTAATTTATTGAAGTTTTTCTTTTAATATAAATGAGTTAATTTTTGAGATGCGGTGAAATAAATACATAGAAAGTGATAAGGTGAACAAGGAAATTAGACATTCATTATATTTTAAATGAATTTTAATTATATATAGTTACTACTGGGGTAACCACAATGATCAATAGCATGAGAAATATTTCAACAAAGTGGATGATTCTTCTTTTACTGGTCAGTTTATTGATACAGATGTCAGGTTATTTTCATGCATGTGTACAGCTAGTATACAGTTGAAGCAAATGAAGAGATGGATGATTTGAATGAAACACCAGCATTTGAGAATGATTTCACTAGGCCTCCTTGGTTGTCACATATCACACAATACCATCCACCAATCTTAAAATGAATTTACAAGTTCTTCTATCCTACATAAGTGATTATTATTCTAAATAAAAATATGCATTTTTCATAATTTTATCTCTTACAATGTACAAAATACCATTATGCTTGGTCACATTTGTTAAAACTCATCAATGTTTCCTTATGTAATACTTGATTCCTGAAGTTATGCCTCCCCCAACATGTAATGTTATTAATGGAGACCCCATAAGCGATAAGTACACATCATAAATGCTATTTCGTCACACTGAATACATTTATCACATTTGAGCGAAGTCTATGTCATGTCATATTTTATACAAGTAAGTAAAATAAGTCTTGTCAAGTTAATGTTAGTAGTGACACATTTATCAACTGTTTGATGCACAGTCTAAGAAATAGCAACATCCATACACTCATTTTATTCTACTCAACAGACACAAGATATCTTTGTAGAGTAGGATACCAAAAAATGCAATGTACATGTTGGTTTTTGACTTTGAAGATTAGTAAATAAAAATATGACTTGCTAGATTCTTTTCATATCATTTACTTTTTATAGCACTGCTTAATAGTGGAAAGGTTTACAGTACAGAAACTGTTAAATAGGAGTTCTGTATTAACTATACAACATATTCTATTATTTTAATAATAGGTTCAATATATAATTAAAAACAGTTAAACTTTGTTAATTTGTATTCAACTGCAATCATTTTAATAATGAAATAATTACTTTCCAATACATTGACTGACGGCATGCACCAATGGGGAACATAGATTTATTGTCTATATAAAAAGTCATGATTGTCTTGAGCAGTGAGAGTCAATGAAAAAATATGAAAGAATTGCAGGGGTTTAAATCATATATACATTGTATGTAACAGCTACTGTCATTGGTTAGCTTCTTGGGATGTTTCATCTAATTCAAAAAGAGGCTGTGTTTCATCAACATCGGACTGAGGCTGTGTTTCATCAACATCAGATTGAGGCTGTGTTTCATCAACACCAGAACGAGGCTGTGTTTCATCAACGTCAGACTGAGGCTGTGTTTCTATTGGTGGTTCAAAACCATTAGAATCTGTATCTGTGGATGCATTGCTTGCCTTGGTTGCTAAGGACTCTGGGTTGTTAATATGTTGATGGGAAGTGGAATCTTTTAAACCAGCTGTCTTGGGGTTGGAATGTTTGACTCGCTGAGGATAGAAGTTAACTGCTTTTATTTTTTGTCTATATATACTTTAACCAGTGTTCACCCTACCATGGAAGCTTCAAGTTCAAGTGCCCCCCCCCCCCCCCCCTCAGAGAAAAAAATGTCTGAAACTGAAACCCTGTCTGTAACAATAAAATATTTTTGTGAACAGACTTTAAGTGTAAGATATGTTCCCTAACCAATGGTGTCTTCATCAATAGAATAGTTATAATACTGAGCCTAACAAAACAAAAATATAATGAAACACTGAAGAATTAAACACATACAATTAAATAGTGTTTTATCAATGCCATATTGAGACAAAGGTACAGAAGAATAGTTCTTGTGACGTTTAGCTTGTTGGAATCAAAGAACTTAACAACACCCAGTAGCCTCAAAAAAAAATGTATTAAGGTAAAATGTTCATCTACTTACCACTGGTGTGTTTATGTGGGCTGCTGGATATTTCCTGGATATGAATGGACATATGATATTACTACTAGGTGTGGTACAAATGGATTAAGCACAATTTACAAAATCACCTGGTCAAACTTACAATTTTTCCTGATACACAACAATTTATTATTGAAACAGTTATCAATTAAATAAAACTATCTAGTCTATTTTATATTAATAGAGTTTTTACAATTAGGCCTCCTTTGAATGTTAACAGTTTTGTTTATTTAAAAAAGATTTATTTCTACTTATTGATTTTAATGTTCTAGCCCAGTAACTTTTTATAACTATAAAAAATACATTTGGTAAGCAGTAATGGTATTCAATAAAAATGTTTTAAATTGTTCTGTATGAAATTGAAAAAAATATATAATTTTTATATAAGATATCTATATATATAATTCTCTTCTTGGAGACGATAGAAAACAAGCTGTAACCGCTCCCTACCACCCCCACCCCTACATGGTCTGGTGAGCTGTGGGGGGGGGGGGGGGGTAGGAGTTGGGGAAAGGAGGGGGTGGGTTAACGTCCTTAACGAGCTACTGATATTGTTTTAAAGCAAATATGTTCAGTGGCAGCACTGGTACTGTAGAATTAACAAATTATGAATTACTGAAAAGTAGAAAATAAAACAACTAAATAGCGGCGTATGATACGCCGCGGGTCGGCTCGTATACCTTAACAATTGTCTTCCACCCACTCCCGGCAATTTAAGCGTGCCCCCCCCCCCCCACCCTAAAAAATTACCACTGCCCCCTACCTCTGAAAAACGTCTTAAAGAATCTCTGATCAAGAGTAGTAATGGTTTCTGAATTTTTTATTTTACATTATATAAGCTGCTGAGCCTGATTATACAACGGCTTATTTTAGTGCTGTATAATATTCGCACAATGCCTTCACACATGGCTTAAATGAATATGAATCACCAACCAACTTACATCTTCTTGAGGGTCGTGGCTAATCCTTCCCTCATCTGTGTCATTTCGTGCAGCTTCTTCATCTCGTCCTCGTTAATACTGTAGCGATTAGCCAGACCGATTTTGGCACCACTCATCAAATACATGGGGTCAACGCGATGGGCGTACACCTGTGGATGGACACAAGTACAATTCCTTGAGCAGGGACATTGTGTTAGGATCAGAGGCATAGCGGGGGGGGGGGGGTGCGGGCCGCACCGGGTGACACAATTTAGGGGGGGGGGGGGAGTGACCCCAAGCAAAATTTACTGAAGAAAAATGCTTTTTTTACCTGTTCAAATAATAGTTAAAAGTTAAATAGTCTTCGACAGTTATAACAAGGGGGTGGGGTTGAAACCATGACATAAACTTTAGAGAAACAATGATACATCCAACTATATTATTAACAAACTATATATAAACATCGTTACTATTACGTCTGTAGTGATTAAAGCTTATAAACTTATATGTGCCGTATATTTAAATTATAGGCCTATGTAGGCCAATACACACACACATTTATATGTATATATACATGTACTTCTTTTCTTGGGGAGGGGGAGCAATACACCACAAAGTGCCGCACCGGGTGACCAGTGGCGTAGCTACCGTAAAGCTAGCGTAAGCATGGCATAGGGGCCCAAGGCAAATAGGGGCCCTTTTTCGAAAGTTTGAGGGGGGGGGTGCAAATCGAAAGTCTGAGGGGGGGGGGCGGTGCAAATCGAAGTTTGTCCCCGGTCGCCGGGAAGGGTCGCTACCTCTGAGGGGCCCACTAACACTTTTTGCATAGGGGCCCAAAAATCCTAGCTACGCCACTGCGGGTGACACCTGACCTAGCGACGTCACTGGTTAGGACATTGCATCTTAGTATGATAGATATCTTATAAAAAAGTTGTCGGCCAATTATGTTTGTGATGGTTTAGATGAGGGATATGGTTGTTAGCTCACCCATTTGTCAGGTGCCCCAACTGTTCAATGTCATGATCTTTAGGTGACCCACAATTTAGATGTCAGGACTTTTAGATGATGCACCTGTCTGTCGGATGTCAGCATTTTATCCACCGCCCAAGCTCCACAGCCTGGTGAGACTGCTGACCCAGTAAAGACTTACCTCTGAGGCTTTCTTGACAAAACGACAAGAATTGACAAAGGACAGTTCTCTCTGCAGCCTCAGACCCTGGTCGCTTGAGTTCCACTTGTACTGCTGGACAACGCCATTCTCGTCCAGATCATCGGGGTCAATCAGCTGTGGGATAACATGGTAGCCTTGATTTTTTTTTTAAATATCTCTAGGCAGCTGATCTCTTTCACTGTCTCCATGTAGCACTGATGTTGATTCTCTCTTAACCATAAATTTCGTTTAACTAAGTTCATGGTATTAAGTAAGGTAAAGTTCCCTTTCAAACCTGACGTTTACGGGGTAAGTGAAGTAGAGTTAACTTGTTTCGGTGACATCTGCATATGAAGGGATAATGTGGTCAGCACTATGCCCAGCCGCCTTTACTTATTCTTACGTGAGTTAGGTACCCATCTGAGCTGGGTGGACTCAGTGACGGTCTACTGACTTGAACCCGGATTCGAACTCGAGACTTACGGGTTAGCAGCCCAGCTCTCTACCGCTAGACCACTCGTTTTTTTTTTTTTAATTATAGTATTCATAGTTTTAAACATTACATTTCAGTAATCTTGATTTGTTAAATGTAGCTTTAATAGAAAAAGCCAAAAATGCATTTAAGTGAAGGATGTTATAATCTGAAATAGAATGATGTAGTTGTCTGGTAGATGTTTGTTTATGTTCTGTCGACTGCGTTTATGTAATATATTGATTTGTCTGGGTTCAGGATGCAGAAGATTTGATTATGGCAGTGGTCGTTATCAGGGTGCTGGTCCTTGAGCTGCTGTTTTTTGTTTGTTTTTGTTTGGTTTTTTTTTGTAATAAATTTGTGATGTCGTTGTTCTATTAACTTTTATATTGTTTTTTTTAGTAGACCTATACGCTTGTTAGACAGTATCTGCACTGGAAGACAGCAGTGTCTGGGTGTTTTACTACGTGATTCTTTATTGTCCCTCTGCTTTTGATCAGATTGTTACAGTGCGGGCATTTACTGGTAGCAGGATGGAAAGCTTTTGGATGAGTTTTACACTAACTGGCAGTACTGAAACCGGAAGCAGTGACCGCAGCTCTTGTCTGTTCCAGGAGTTAAGGCTAATCCGTCAAGGTTATGAAATTATTGGTATAGTAATTTTTTTTCTCTTTATTTTTTTTTTGTTTGCGTATTTGCAAGATACGTAAATTATTCATGTTAATATGCATTATAGCTAGGATAAAATGAAAAAATTACAGTTCCCTTTTCGAACATGACGGTCCCTGAGGCAAGTGAAGTAGAGCTGGCCTGTTTATGTGACCTCGCTCATGACATCTCAAAAATATTTTGATTTATGTGACCAAAGTTTATATTTAAATTTAAGAAAGTAAGTTGGTTTTATTTTCAGGGCATTTGAAAGTTCTTAACCTTTAAGGTTTTTTTTTCAGTTTTGTTAGTTATTTTTTTCTCCACGGAAATCTTTTTTTTTTTTCAATTTAAAATCAACATCATCATACTTTTTAAAAAAATATCATCTAATGAAACGATTTTTTTTACAAATGAACGTACTAATAATAAGTATGTACATGGTTATCATATATGTTGTTATACAAAATTTAAAGGGATGAACAGTAAAAGGGGTTAAGGTAAAAATGAAAGTGTTGGAATCCGGAGGGGGGGGGGGTGGACAAAAACTCGTTTATTAAGGGGTGAGTAGAGCGTGTCCTAATTGAAGAGTTGTCCTTTTCATATTTTTTTAAAATGTAGTTGTCCGTCTGTTTATGTTCTGTCGTCTGCATATATGTAAGAAATGGATCTGTCTGGGTTGAGGATGTAGAATATTTGATTGTGGCAGGGGTCGTTGTCGGGGTGCTGGTCGTTGAGGTGTTTTTCTATTTCGTATTTGGTGTATAGTTTGTTAGGCAGTGAGGTGTTTTTCTATGTCGTATTTGGTGTATAGACTTGTTAGGCAGTATCCACATTGGAAGACGGCGGTGTCTGGGTGTTTTAGTGTGTGGTGCTTTATTATTGCTCCTCTGTTTTTGATCAGATTGTTACAATGCGGGCATTTACTCATTTCAGGATGGGAAGTTTTTAAATGTGTTTTATACTCGCTGGCAGTAACCGCAGCTCTTGTCTTTTCCAGGAGTTAAAGGTTTGGAGATTTGAATTGGTTCGGTGGTAGTTTCTTGTTGCGGCTGGGTTTCTTTAGTGTTTGGTGGAGTTGTTGCAGTTGTTTCTAAAGTTCTTTTGGCCGATTTCGTTTTTCTTTCTTGCAGTGTGGCTGGACTGTCTTCGTTCTTCCTTTTGGTTTTGTTTCTGTTTCCATAGCAGTCTGTGGTGGTTTGAAGCTTGCGGTGTCAAGCAATGGAGCGCTTGCGTTCCCTGTTGTTGCTTGCGTTATTGATTGTTCTTTTGGGTCTTCTTGCAGTGATGTGTCTGAAGGCGTGTGTTGGCAATGGTTCGTCCAGTGTAGGGTGGAGGAACAGATTTGACACGCTTGTCTTCTCCCGGCGATTGCGATTAGGGTAGTGAGTGATTTGTTTTTGTAGTTTATTTTGATGTAGTGAGGGATAGTTGTTGGATTATCGATGTAGATATAAAAGCTGCTATTAATTATTAGTATCTGGGATTGTGTTTATGGATGGCTCTTTGTTACTATATAGGCGTAGAGCTTATATGTGTGAAGCATTGTCAAGTGTAGGGGTACCCATCTGAGGTACCCATTGATTTTGTCGTTTTCATGGACCGTATGGTATAGTATAGTAGTATAGTTCAGGGGTCGGCAACCTGCGGCTCGCGAGCCGCATGCGGCTCTTTTGATATCAAGGTGCGGCTCTCCAGCTCCTTGCACAAATACTAATAATCTTAATAAAAATATAAAATATTTGTAATAAAAAAAATGTTAGTGGCTCTTTAAAACCAAGGAAATTTTGAAAATTGTAACTTTTGGCTCTTTCGCTTCAAAAGGTTGCCGACCCCTGGTATAGTTAATAGTGATGTCCCTTTTGTAAAGGGATCCATAAATATTACTACTTTCTATATTATAAATTAAACTGCACATTTGATTGCACGCTATATATTCAGATTAATATTTTAAAAATATTACAGTGTTAGATTTTAACATCAGCTTCATTTTCATTACAAATTTTAACTTTAAAAAATAAACTTTGCAGGTTCTCTTAATAATGTAATATCCCTGGTTTAGTTAATTAATGTTTTGAAAAATAAACTGATTATTCTTTATTTTTTGTGCTTTGATAGTGCTATTTTGTTTACTTCAGCAGCTTATTTTAAGTTTTCTCCCTTGGTTAAAACATTACGTCAATATTTACTAAGGGAAGTAATTCAACATTTAACCCAATTACGCTTACATTGTCGATCCAGTAAAAAAGTTAAATTGAAAAAAATGGAGTTCTTGACAAATGTAAACCCAAATAAAGGAGAGCTATTCCCTGCTAGATCTAAATTTATACAGAATCGAATGTCATAAACTTACTGATGACCGCACGCTGGACTTTTTTGACAGGGGTCGGGTTGCAGAGAGGAAGGTTGGGGTTTTCTCAAGGCGCTCGGGGTCGGGGACGGAAGAATTTCTCGGCGACACACTTCCTGTCCGTGAGCCTAGAGATCCCTTCCTAACCTTTGACCCGCTGTTTGGTGAAACAGAGTTGATGAGAAAACATGGGCATGGTAGTTATGTTATACACAAAAACAACATCACGAATAGGAAATACAATCTTCCCCCTTTTTTTTTCAATTCGTGTCTAAATTATCTTGTGTCCAGAGCAGAGTTTCCTCCATGCATCTCTTCGGGGATTTATATAGAAACATATTTTTACAAGTGCCCCCCCCCCCCCCTCCCGGAGAAAAAAGTCTGGGAGAAACACTGGTCCAGAGTGTCTCATATCTAGAATGTCTTGTGAATATAATATCTCATGTCCAGGCTGTCTCGTGTCTAGAATGTATTGTGTACAGACTGTCTCATATCTATAATTAGAATGTATTGTGTCCAGACCAGTGTTTCTTCCAGACTTTTTTCTCCGGGGGGGGGGGCACTTGAAATTTTCGGGGGGCGGTAGACTTTCTTCGGGGGGGGGGCGGACACTGTTAAAAGTATATATTTTTTATATAAATTATATACATTTCATTTCGTTCGGGGGGGGGAGCGGTAGAATTTTTCGGGGGGGGGGGGGCACTTGATATTTTCGGAACGGGGGGGGGGGGCGAACACTTCAGAAGAGATGCCTGGAAGAAACACTGGCAAGGAGGCAGACATAATTAGCAAAATCAAGTTCTTCCTCGGTGTTTCTTTTAGCGTCTCTTCGGGGATTTATATATCTTCGTTTTCTATTGATTTTTACTAAGCTTTTATCTTATATTCATAAACGATAATTTTTCTTTTTACTGCAGCAATATTTTTCTAATTGTTCGATTTCCCAACACGTATGTATTTCTCCGTTTTAGCGATCAACCCAGGCATTATATAGCTTCTGGTCTAGTTGATTTGATTTTTCTTGTATGACTGCGGCGGTGCGTGCATAATTCCACCAAGTGAACTCTAGCGTCACGCTCAGCGTGTTCTACATAGTGGGGTGTCTGTAGCATGTGCGGCTATCAGGACAACAGCGTATACAATATATTGGTTCCATTTGGTTCCGCTCGGCAGTGGGCCTGTCACTGATTCATTCACTGGCATGAATCTGTTTACTGTATGGAACAATTTGATTATTTCGCGGCAACATGGTGGGCTAGCAGTACAGGTTTATTTATTTATTCATTGGGAACATGTAAAGAACATATTTATTATTTCTTTATGGGAACATGTAAAGAATTTTTTTTTAAATTAAATTTATCTCCTTATATGAACATATACCGAAAGATTTTATTTATTTATGCAAGGGAATATGTACAGAAAATAATTATTTATTTACTTAAGGAGCAAGTACTGATCAGCATTTTTAAATAAACTTTTGAGGGGGATAAGTACAGAACACTAGTATTTATTTGCTGACGAGAACACAATGGTACAAAAATGTGCTCTTTCGTTACTAAGTTTACATAGCTTGTTATAAACTAAATATGCCTACTATAGCTTATACACACATGCATATTTACTTATTTACAGGAACATCAAGGGAACATTAGTCTTCTTCCCTATGTATGGGAACTTGTCAAGTACAGTTAAAGGGAACATTCCTCATATGAACATGGAGCTATAGTGTTTTTGCACATTCGCAAGAATGTGTTCAGTAAATATAAATATATGAATATATAGGGAATATTGTGTATTTATATTCTTGGGCTATTTAAACCCTCGATTGAAATCAATGTCTCGGGACATTGATTACGTTGGCTCATTAACTCAAATTATTTCCAGGTCTTGGGTTTTGATAATAACTGAACTTAACGCCAAGAAATGAGCAGGTGAACATTTTATTTACCTGACAAGATTCCCCGACATAAAAGCCCTGTGTTATTACCGTACCCTTTCGGCCAAATAAACAAATAATTCAATCGTTCAGCGCTATCTTACGGTATCTTTCAACCAGTGTTTTTGGTACTGCTAGATTAGGCCAGCCAAACTATGTGACGTCTTAAGTCTAAGTCTCTATGAGGTTGAACCGTAGCCCTAACACTAAAAATAAACCTTTAATCTTTACCCACCTGTCTTTCTATATGTTATCATTTACTTTCTTTCTGTTTGTCTGTCTTTCTTGTTGTTTTTTTTTTCTTAATTGGTCTAAGATGTATTTTTAAAATTGTTCACAATTTAGAGTAGTGGCTTATACTTTACTAATGTAATCTCATAGCACCCCACAGTAAAACTTCAACATGAAAATGTAACCAATAAAATGTATCGATTTGGTACTGGAAAGCTCAATAAAATATATTGAAATCGATCTCGGGCATTGCACTACGATTATTAAGGGCAAGTCAACCGGGTGTATTGATATTAACAGGTGTTTATATTCTATTTTCTATCCGAAAATATGCACACTTTTATTTTGTTTTTGTTGTAATGGACTCCTGTGAATGCATGTGATAAATTTAATCTGGGGTAAGATTAGCATAGCACTCGTAGGAGATTATCTATGCATGTACCTGTGCGAAGCCATAAAAATATGGGTAAGAGACTCTAAGCGTCTTTTGTTGTTTATCGAACAGTTCGATCGTTTTCTATAAATTAATCCTGGTCCTAATTCTTATCTGACCGGAGCTTCAGTAATCCTAACCCTAACCCCCTTGTCCTACATAGCTGACTGTCCCTATGCCTTTAATCACTGCTTCACCAAACGCAGCTCCTAAACTTCACAACGCAGCTCCTAACCTTCACAGCAGTCCTAATTGTCTGACTGCATCATCAGCCTACCCCTAGTTCTAACCTGAACAATATAGTTCTATAATTTTGGCTTAACCTCCGGCCTAACCATTGTCCTACTAACCTAACCTTACAATAAGATAAACGTTAGTCCTGTATAGTATATTTGTATATAGCATTAGTTCTCACTTGGTTCTCAAGTCCCTATTGATATACATAAAGTATTTCACTCTCAACACTTCTGATACCATCCGGTTACCTATTGCAGACCTACACAAACTCCCATAAATGTCCAATCTATACGAATCAGTTCTTGAAAGTTTTACACTCGGGGCCAACAGCGAGTTAATCCCCTTGTATGTGTGTGCAGCGATAAAGATAGATAACTCGCGTTCACCTCACCACTTTAATAAACGGCTTATCTACTAATATTGAAAGACTATAAAACGGAAGGACAACGGTTCCCAAAATCTTGTGTATCTATCACCCATCGATAGGTTTTTATGGTTAGGTATAACTAACCCATTATGTGATACGTTCACACACAATATCGTGTGTATGAACATAAATCCCCTTTAGCAATACGGTTGTTACTAGTTGTTAGTACTTTTTAATAGTTGTAGCCTACTGTAGTTAAATTAAACAACTAAGCTACAATAAAAAAAAAACTACAGCAATAAAATATGTAGTCCGTACTTTGTGAAATATATCCTAAATGTACTCATTACGTTAGTTGAATCACCTAAGCTTAGGCCTAAAATATCCTGTTATAATTAACTTTATTCCCAAACCGGAAGTTGTGTAAAGCTTGATGCTATTTTTATGCCTATGGTACTTGTAAGTCAAGAATAGAATTAGCGGTAGGCGTGGCTGGTGACAATCAATTAGCAATCAATTATAAATATACGTTGCGGGGGTCAGTAACTTGTACTTTATCAGACAACCTGTAGCATAAAATAAATTTGCTAGGATAATATTAGCCCGTGAGCTATGGGCCTGAGCAAAGCCGGGTAGGGACTGCAAGTATACGATCATTCGAGTAGGGCTAATATTTAATTGTTGCTATTCAAATGAGAAATGACTCTGTAAAAATATCTGCAGTGAGTTAACTATCACCGTTTTATAAACTGGGCACTAGTAGTTTAAAAGAGTAGCTGTTTAAAACTAAAAACTGTCGCCTTTACTAGTTCTTAGAGATTATTCTAAAAGCCGACATAAGTATTCAAAAAGTCACATTCGTTTGATCGAATGGATTCCTAAGTAGCCCAGCACTGCCCTTGTCGATTATTTCTGAGTTCTCTAAACTGACTCACCGCTTGCCCCCCCCCACCCCACATACCACAGGGTGGGAACCGCTGTACCAGAGTACAGTTACATTAAGCAATACAGTGAAATATATCCGCATCGAATTCAAGTGGGGAATCCAAAGGACCCCGCAATATCCTTATCGGGAATACCCGAACAATGTCATTATTTACAATGATCTTGGTTTTTGCTGCGAGGAATATATGAGGAAAATTGAGATTAATCCTCCGTTTATTTAACTCAGCACGATTGGTGTTTTTAATTTTTTCTTGAACTAATCCTCATGTGCATGAATGAGGGGTAGGGGGATTAGATTGTTCGGATCTTCTAAGAGGGTTAAAAGAAAAGTGGAATAACGTCGTTATTGATTATAGATCGCGGTTGATTGATTAGGATTGATTTGTCTCCGTTTCAAGGCACCGTGTGCGGTTTATCTCCGGAAGAACTAATAAAAGGGGAGAAGGGGATCGGCCAGTTGAAGACTACATAGCCCTACATTCCGAATTATCCTTCAGATTCTACACACTTATTTACCATCCATTTAAATCTCAACATATTTAAAATCACCCACTGAACTCAGTGGCGTAGCTAGGTCGGGTGACACCCGGTGTGGTAACTCAGGGCGACACCCCCCTCAGCCAGCTACTATACACAAGATCTACTAAAACTGTGGGTACTTTGGTGTCACCCCATCTCTGATAGTTTCACACCAAGCACGCAGCAATAATAACGCATTACATTAATTGGAGAAAAAACAGACAATTCGTTAAAAGGATATTTGAAACGTGTCACCTGTACGGTCTGCACTCCCCCCCCCCCCCCCCGACCACAACTGCCTCCCTGTCGCCGCTTTGTAACGCCACTGAATCTGGATTCTAAATGGTACGAATGAGATATTTGAAGAGCCGCTTGCAATTTTCTCATCCACTTTCTGGGGTCACGTGACTCTGAGGCCAGTGAAAATTAGTTTTTGCGTGTAAACGAAACAACCGTCATCGTTAAGTGGCAATGCTATTGTCATTTTCATCTAAATGTTTATTTTACAACTTACGATTGCTCTTAGATTATTTACTTCGTTTTGAGATGTTTAAAAATCGTTTTAATCCTTAAGCTTAAGTAGTTTGTTTAGTGCAAGTCATTGTGATCAAATGTCTTTATCAAAATAATGTTAGGCGCTAGACCAGATTTTTAATAATCGGAGGAAAGGGAAGCCAAATTGTCAGCAATAAAAATACGCACACACACACATACACACATACGCAAGGAAGGAATCAAGCTAATGTCAAGGTAAAACTCAAACCGTAAAAAGTGAGGGCTGTCTTCCAATTTACAAGTATACAGCAAGTCGAATGACAGGGGCATAATTATATCACCTAATTATCCAGCATGCGTTAACATGGTGTCAGCACACGGACAAATTAACGTCAGGTGATGTGCTATTAATGACATACGTTTTTCTACGCGACTAAGTAATACACAGTAGGTTGAGTAAGAGAAAACAATAGCCGCACTGCATACAATACTGTTGCACAGAGGCGTAGCGACCCTTCCCGGCGCCCGGGGACAAACTTTCAATTTGGCACCCCCTCCCATATATTTTTATAATTATAATGCAAAACTGTAGCTAAAATGAGCTTTTTTATTTTTTTTAACCCATTTTGGCGCCCCCTAGGGTCGGCGCCCGGTGACATATGTACCCCCCCCCCCTCCTCGCTACGCCTCTGATGCTGCATGAAACTAATACAGTGGCAGGCGGGAAGGCAGCTGACAGAGGCAGGACTGTCATGGGGGACTGGCAGGAAAATTGCCGGCGACCTACAAAAGTGGAGGGAGCTTTCTGTGGCGTCCCCATGTATCTTGGTCGTAGAAAGGAAGGGATGACGATTACCTGGATCTACTAGTGCCTTAACATACGAGCTTTTCAATAAGAGAAACATTTGAGATACGAGTAACAGCGTGTCGCCCGGCTGCATACGAAAAATTAAGTCATAGTAACACAATGTTTACAGTAGCATTAAAGTTAAATTAAGTTCGGTTAACTTTAGTTGTGTTCCTTTACGTTTAGCGGTAAAGTGTAGCAAGTAAGTAAGTAAGTAAATGAAAGAGGCCGTAACAGTTCAGCGTTAAAAGTGATGCGAGCATGTTAACAAAGTGAAACTTCTCCACCCTACACCTCCATCAGCATTTTACGTAAACTCAAGTCTGCTCATTTTCACTTTATTATTCCAGTTTATTTCTTAACATTCTCGTTTATTAAGTGTTTACACAATATTTGTCATTTATTTGTAGCAATTTTTTTGATAGAAAAGGGTTATGTTATTAATTTTAATGGGGAAAATTGCTTTGAGATACGAGCAAATTGACAAGAGAGCAAGATTACGGAACAAACTAAATTCGTATCTAAAAGCATGATTATTCAATGATAAAATACAAAGTTTGTTACCTTAAGCCCCTTCTTAGGTTCACCTGTTGTATATTGTCTATGATCACCTGGGTCTGTGTAAAAAAAATATTTTTAAAACTTTATTGTCAATATAAATAAACGGATGTACGGCGTGGTTAAATGGTAGAGCGAACGACTGCTACCCCGAAAGTCACGAGTTCGGATCCCGGACTCGTGTCTTAAGGCGTCTTTGAGTGCACCCAGCTCTGACTAACCTGACTAACGTTAGGGAAACAAAGGCGTCTGGGTTCAGTGCTGACCACTCTATCCCCTAGAATGCCGAGGTTATTAAAACAGATGAACTATATTTCCTGTGTCTAATGAAAAAGGGTGGTCTAGAGGTAGAACAAGTGTCTATTAATCATAAGCTTATTAGTTTAAAGCCCTGACTCTGGAGTGTAGGCCATTGGGGTAGAAACATTGAGCTTATATATTATGAAATTCCTTGATATATGCTGGAGTCACTTTACTTTTCTTTTTCTTCGTTCTTAATTGTAATAGAGGATTTCCTTCGTCACAATCTATCTATATATATAATTCTCTTCTGGGAGCCGTTAGAAAACAAGCTGCAAACGCGCCTTGCAATCCCCTTTCCTGTCTTCCTCTCTATCGCTACCACGCCCACCCCACCCCCACATGATCTGGTGAGCGGTGTTCACTCTGTTTACATTTTACAATCATAGAGACGGGTTTGGTGACGGCTATTAGGGGCAGATAATTTAGTTTGAAACGATTTTAAACTTAGAGGAGGTAACTAAGAGGAGGCTGCTTTCACGTGGGGGGGAGGGGGTTTTATTGTTTTTAAGCTAATATTTTCAGTGGCAGCATTGGTACTGTCGAATTCACAAATTACGAAAAAAACAACTAAATAGCGGCGTATGATACGCAGCGGGTCGGCTCGTATATATAATTCTCCTCTGGGAGCCGTTAGAAAACAAGCTGCAAACGCGATCCCTACCTCCCCACCCCTACATGGTTTTAGTGAGCTGTGTTCACTCTAGATCAGGGGTCTCCAAACTACGGCCCGCGGGCCGGATGCGGCCCGCGAGGTCCTCTCATCCGGCCCGCGGAGATCTTTTTGTCCACGGAAAAAAACGTTTGTTGGTGATGGCTGAGGAACTTTGCCCAGAAAAATCAAAGACATGCCTGGAAGAAACTGGCCCCCGAACTGAAATTTTATAGGTAATGCGGCCCCCGGACTGAAAAGTTTGGAGACCCCTGCTCTAGATGTTTACAAGCAGAGCCAACGATTTTAAACGTAGGGGGGGGGGGGGCGGGGGAAGGAAAGGGGGGGGGGTTATGGTCCTTAACGAGCTACTTATAGTGTTTTAAAGAAATATTTTCAGTGGCAGCGTTGGTACTGTCGAATTCACAAATTATGAATTACTGAAAAGTAGAAAAAACAACAATAGCGGCGTATGTTATGCCGCGGGCCGGCTCGTTAAGTATAACGCGTTAACATTTAATGCGCCATTTGAACAGTTGAGTCCAACTGTTTTTTCTTTCTGGGTTAACTTCCATAGCCTTTCTTCATCCAAGAGCAAACTACAAGACAGCAGTAGTTTGATTTTGGAGTTGTTTTTTTTTATCCTAAATAGGTTGCTGTCCTGGGCTAATAAGTCCCATCAGCCCGGGGGTTCGAACTCGAGACTTAGCAACCAGGAGCTCTCCCACTCGACCACGCCTACCTCTACTGAGCTTACTACACGTGTTCTTTACCTGACTTGGTTTCATTTTCTCAGCTTCCCCGTTACTGGAGTTGGAATTCTTCTCCTGCTTGACCTTTGACGTCACCGGAAGTGCTGACAACCCACACTGCGCGGCCATCTGTCTTTTGCTCACCACCTCGGCGCTCCGGTGACGGTACAGGCTGACGTTGTCTGAGTGGGTCTGGTTCCCGTGGCCCGAAGTCTCCAGGTTCCTTCTCTGTCTGGCCGCGGCTGATTTGGGGAGCATGTTGTTTTGGTTGGTGTTGGTGTTTGGTATACGGGTGAGCTGGCTTCGTAATATGGGCCCGTGCGACATGATTTTCAGAAAGATTTTCTCTATGTATTCGATATCTGTTTACAAAACAATGTGGGAAAATTGAGACTATATTTTATATTGAAACACAGCTGTAAATATTATAGTTTTTAGTTGTTGATTTTTTTTTTGTGCTTTTTTACAGACAATGGGACATTGCGGTATCGTAGTAAAGTGTCACTTTGACTGCTTTATCACAGTTAGGATCAGGATGAGGTTTAGAGATATAGTCCGGATTAGGGTTCTAACCAGACGATTGTTAAGATTAGAGCCAAGGCGGATGTATCGATACTAACATAACTATGGCATCGAATACGTCCTGAAGACGTCATACCGCACAACGTGTCTCAGCTTGTTGCCAAGAACAGGCGCGTCGATACTTTAGAAGTGTAATCGATACCTCAGTTAACACTATTACCAGAGTTAGGTTCAAGTAGGGATCGATTTGTTTGATGTCAAGCAGTAGCAGTCTGGTACCATATAACGGAAATGAAACGTAGAAACCGACAGCCATTTATTCTTACTAAACAATCTACTTAGAACGTAAACCACGAAGAGTCAAACTATAGTTTGACTGTTCTTCTCTGAACACATACAGGCAATACTTCTAAATCTAGCTAAGTTTCATGAGAAAGTTTCAGGTGCCAGTTATTAGTTGCTTATTAAAGTTATATACATCATTAGACACTAGGTGACGCCACCCAGCTCTAATATGTACCCGACTCACGTTAGGGAAAATAAAGGCGGCTGAGCATAGTACTAATTACACCATCCCTTCATAAGGCGTGGTCAAGAAACAGATAAACTCTACTTTGTATGTCTAACGGACAGTCATGGTCAAAACGGTTACCATACTTTTTTTTTATATTTCTTTGAAGCATATTTCTTTAGCTTTAATAAATAAACATTGCACTCTGTCTACGACAGTACTAACTTAACAGGTCAATCAATGATAGTTAACAAGAACTTCCTTGCCAATCATGATGACCAACAATCTTCAGCGACTATTGATCACATGTTTACCTTTTAAAGTAACTTTCCACCTGGCCGAAATACTTATTTTATTTCTTTGACAGCACTTTAAATTACATTCTAAATTAATTGAATGCACCCCAATAGGTAGACCTATTTGGAATCGTCGTCTCATTATATTATTCTCGCGTTTTTAAACCATTCTGCCTATATAAAATTGATGTCGATTTTAACAGAAGCTTAAGATTTTAGCAGGAGTTTAGCAATGAATATTAAAATCACAGTTGTTTTTTAACACTGTAAACAAAACCACTTTTATCACACACACATACACACACATACACACACAATTTGAGATCAGTACTTCGTCGGCTTAACAAGCAACCCGCAAAACCTAGATGTGAAATGTTAATGTCTCTTTTTAAAAACAACTATACGTTGTTATTGTAAGTATCAGCTTGAGCGAATCGTTTAAAATCAGATTTGATTAGGACATTAAGGAAATTCTACCTATTGTTTTGTAAGAAAACACGTGTATATTAACGCTTGCTAATTGGGAAACATGCGAAGGGGTGCCAGATTTACCTATAGTCTAAACACGTCATGGCTTCACCTCAACCCTACCCTTACACATTTTCTTCTTAATAAGCTTGACATTTTTAGCGCTCCAGTAAAAAAATGCATTGAACACATAATTGTAGACGTCGCTGACATATGAGAGGCTATCAGGACGTGTCATACTTGGAAATATCAAGGGTGCTATAAATATAACCTCAAATAGCTGTTCCTTAGAACAGTCCTTCAGTTTACGAGATATAAGCTAATATAACAACGTATTTTACTCTCAGTTACACTAACATATCATTCACATAGTATATTTTAAAGAATATTTAAAACGCTATTTACTCTACAAAAAAAATTAAAGAAGTCAGTTTGCATACGATAAAATAATCTTAAACATGATACTCACCACATGTCTACAAATCAGCCTTAGCATACAGTAACCACGATAAACACTAATTGATTAATTGAAAGATCTAGCGAGGTCGATACGAAGCGTTCGATTAGGGAAACGAACACGCAGTCGATGAACGCCCGCCAAACAAATATGGCGCCGAGTCGGTTACGCAAATAGCGATACTCCAATCAAAGGGAGAAAATCCTGGCAAGGTTTCATTTCGTGCTTCGATTTTTCTCCGCCGGTAGATATGAACGTAAAGTGTTATAAAATTTCAAGTGGGGAGCCGTTTGTTTGTGCGTATAGTATAAAAAGCTTAAGATTAAGGTGGGGTAGGAGTGGGAAGGAAGGACTATATTATCGATGTTGCTTATTTCGTGAGGTCTACTTGTGTTGGGGGTTTGTAGTACCCCGTCCAATCGGTTTCAGACTAAACTGCACCGGCAAATCGACACCGATAAAAACCACCTTCCCCCTCCCCGTCTTCCTTGCCCCGTACATAAACATGCATGAAAAAAATCAGGAAGGAAAAGATACAAATTTTACGGCTACCGACAATATTACCACCCGGCGAATAGGCGCCCGTTTAAGATTAACGAATAATGACTTCCGGCAACATGGCCTCTAATAATAATCCCCCTACTTTCAAATTCGAAGTGACATCGGTCTATAATGGGTCGTCTATTTATAACAATTTTACCTCCACCTCGTCACAAAACGTCACACTTCATCCCCCTCCTCACCCACATTTTTACATAACGTTCTAGAAAGGCCGATTTTTTTTTCTAAAATAGTAACTGAACTTGGTCAATTTCTGTTTAAGCCCACTAATCAAATTTTATTACAATTTTCAACACACAAGTCTTTTTAAAACGAAAATTAACTGCTAAAATTCCGTATCAAAAATTACTTTTAATACAAAGATTTGCGGTCAAACTTTTTTAATCCTTCCCCTTCATTCTTTAGGGGTGTGACAATGACAATAAGCTTTGGGCCGATTAGTCTCTACCTAGTAATTGTTCTAATCCTCTAACACTTACCTACCTCTAAGAGTAGATCTTATAGTCTAAGACTAAGACTGTTATGGACAAAATAATCCATCAGATATGCTTAAGGGAAACCAATGACCTTCAGGGGTTTTTAAAAAGCTTTTATGTCTGTATATATGTCTAAATAAGCCTATAATTAAGATATACTGATTTAGGATCTTTTCCAGATAAGCTTCGCCACTGCTGCAAAAGGTGCAAGCGCGAAAAGTTAAGCCCCGCCACTTTTTGCCAGCTCCAATTTAATGCACGTAGGTGGTCGTCCATAAATGACGTCAAACCAGCGGCGTAGCGAGGTCGGGTGTCACCCGGTGCGGCACTCATGGTGTCACCCCCCAGAGGCGTAGCGACCCTTCCCGGGGACAAACTTTTCAAGTTTTCGATTTGCACTTCCCCCCTCAAGTTTTCGATTTGTACCACCCCCCCCCCCCCAAACTTTCGATTTGCACCCCCCATCAAGTTTTTCTCTATATATTTTGCTATTTTTTGCCTTGGTGTCACCCCCCTAAATGGTGTCACCCGGTGCGGTCCGCACCCCCCGCCCCCCCCCCCCCTCGCTACGCCCCTGCGTCAAACTCGTAGGGGGGAGGGGGTCAGATTGTGTGACGTCACACTTTTGCATTATAAAAAAGCAATGTTAGAAAACGAATTTTAGAAGTTATTTCGCGTTTTAGAAAAATCTTTTAATAAATTGTAATAGGAATTGATTGAAATACTCTATGTTGACAGAGTTCAGACACGATTTTGAAAAAAGAAATCGTTTTTTAAGAAAAAATCAAATGCAATTTTGAGGAGGGGGGTGGAGGTGTAGAGTCATTTTAGGTGGGAGGTCTGGCTTTTTGTGACGATGTGTGACGGAGGAAAGGGGGTCGTTACAAATCGTCCACAAAAAAGTGTGAAGTCATTTAAGGATGACCTCGTAGGCCTAGATACCGAAATGTAGACCTTTTCATGCAAATTATTCATGACATGTCCCAATTCCAAATTCCATCCCCTTCAATAAAAACTAAAAGTAAAAGTTTCATATCCTTTTTTAAATATCCTTTCGGGTGACGGAGTTGTTAACATTTTGGCAGGGCTTATCTGAAAAAGATATCTGTTTTTGTCCTACTTTTATAATAACAGTACAGCAGCGTCACTAGTCGATCTCGGGGGTGCACCGTTCGGGAGGAAGGATTTATTTTATAATTGAAAAAAATAATTACATTTCGTATAGAGTAGACAACTTTGAGCATTTGTATTAGTAAATAGGTTTTGTTAAATACACGTTGAAGCACCACCCGATCGACTAGTGGAGTTACCTCAATGTTGACACCCTACTCGATGACGCCACTGGCTAATGAAGGTAATAAATAACTTAGACAATAGCCAAGCGCATAGGGCATAGGCTGTAGGGGCTATTAAAAAAAATCAAAATAGCTAACCTATTGAAATAATAATTTGTATTATAGGCCTACAAATTGTAGTTTACACTGATTCTAGGTTGAGTCGATAGAAGTATCTCAAGAATAGATTCTAGTCAATATAAGACATAGGCCTGATACACAGATACTGATAGGCCGACATAATGACATTTCAATCTAAATTATTATAAACTCATAATCGAATTCTAATATTCTTACCCGAACAGCCAACTGCATTCAAATTGATTGCTGTATCACTTTTTTCAAACTTTTGATATTCCTTTTTAAACATTTCTTACGTTTAAGTTATACAAATATAGATTCTAGAACATGTGTAGAACTAGAATCTATATTTTTCTATACAGACAGTTCATATGATTGTCTAGATCTATCTATTTTATATTTCTCTGAAATTATAGATAATAAAATGTGTTAATGACTCAATAAAGTTATGTGAAGAGTTCGCGAACCGACTATCCTCCATTTTTCAAGGCGTCTCCGTATCTAGGCAGGGAGAAGTAGTTAGTGAAAGTTGAATTTAGCAATAAAGTTCTTTGAATTTTCATTTTAACAGAATATTAATTAATAGTATATTCACAAATATATGAAGAAATTTTTTTCAAAAATATTAGCGATCGTTATCATTTGTATCAATGACTATAAAAATATTGTAATAACTGATCCCCAGAAACAATATTTTCAAGATGGCCGAGTAAGTGTTAGCAAAATTCTTGGTGTGCTTTCAAGCGAAAGCAAGTCATTTTATTGAATCTAAATAGAGTCTAGTTTAGATTGTTTTCTATAGATCTACTACCCGTGTATAATTTTGATAAGGCTATTATCTTTTATCCATAGATATATACCCAGATCTAGGTTTCTAGATTCTACATCAGCACATCTATTTTAAAATTTTTGTATGAAAATCTCAAAAATGTTTTTTTTTAGGAAAAAAAGTATCAATAGTAGATCTAGGATCTAGATCTATCAATAATAGTTAGCACACTAGTAAACTAAGTCAATTAGGGGTCATCCATAAATGACGTCAGGCTTTTTTTGACGATTTTTACCTCCCCCCCCTCCCCTCCACACGTCACAAAAAGCCAGACCCCCCCCCTAAAATGATGTCACACCTCAACCTACAACCCCCCTCAAAATTGCAGTTGAATATTTTTAAAACATTGATATTTTTCCAAAATCTTGTCTAAACTATTACAATTTATTAAAACAGTTATCTAAAACGTGAAATAACGTCTGAAATTCGTTTTCTAACATTGCTTTTTTATAATGCAAAAATGTGACGTCGCAACATCTGAACTCCCCCACATCACACATCATCACAAAATTACGGATCCCCCCTCCTCCCTACGAGTGTGACGTCATTTATGGATGACCCCTTAAGCGTATATTAACTTCCTGTGCAAAGTCATTATAACTGAAAAAAAATTCCAAAGTCAGGTTCCTTGGTTCATACTATCATACTCATAGAATAGATTAGAAAGACAAGACTTTTGGTAATCTATCGTTTTAGGTACGTAAAATCGGCCGAGGCTAGTAATGTGCGACAAAGTTGCCTCATTGTTAAGGCTTTAATAGAAGTATATTGATATTGTGATATTTTTGACTATTTGTGTCAAATATTATAGATAATTGAATAATAAACCAAAATCAATGGCTAGATATATCAAATAGGCCTATCGGCCAGAAATTAACTTGCAACATAGCTCATTTACTTTAGCAGCCATCTTGTTTAAGTTTTTTTTGGTAAACTTATTGCGGGAGATTCAGGGGAAGCCACTCTATTTTATAAATGGCTTCTGTTTATATAGCAAATTTTGCTTGCAGACACTGCTGTTTAATCTGATGAAAACATCGCTAGTCTTTATTTATTACTGAAAAGTTTTAATACAATTGTTTAAAAACAGGTACATGAATGAAACTTTGAAACATTTTTTTAACTTTCAAAACATAAATCTTCCTAAAAATGTGAAATAATTTAAGAGGCACCTTCCTTTCACATTACTAGCCTCTGCCGTTTTTATGCACCTAAAGCTATAGATAACCAGACTTTTTAATTATTATTATATTATTTGTGAACCAATTAAAATATTAAAAGCTTTTAATTAAAACTAGATCTAGAAATTTTAAGCCAAAAAGTTAGAAGTTGTTAATCTAACAGTTCTAATATAAAGAATAGAATGCAACCCTTATACAAAAGTTGTCATGAAATACACAAATTTAAAGTGCATGTTACAATGTTCTAAGCCCCCTCAAAGTACATGTTTTCAAATCTCTAGGTTATGCTTGACAACATTAATTTTATTAATTATCAAATTTTTTTTAAACCAAATTATTAACGTATTAAGGCCTATAGAAACTTAGTAAGATTTTACACATTTTTTTACTATTAAATTTCAGCCTTCAAGAGCGAAAACTTAAAGATGCACAAATGAGAGCAACCATCAATCAAAAACTTATTGAAACTGGAGAGAGGGAAAGGTTGGTCACTTCTATTTTTTATTTATGATTTCCTATTTGAACAGTGATCCATTTATTTTAATAAAATCAAGAGCTTATTAACATGCTTGATGCATAACATCATTTACTTCCCTCTAGATTAAAAGAACTTTTACGGGCAAGACTTATTGAGTGTGGATGGAGAGATCAGCTCAAAGCTTATTGCAAAGGTTTGTGCATTTTTGTGGTTCAATCTGAAAGTATTAAAATTAAACCTATTTTTTTCATAGTTTTATTAACCTCAATATATTCCCAATTTTTGTTTTTAACTATCCTTTTGAGAAATATATCATTTGATTTTTCGTTTATATGTAACCAGCTTAGTAAGAAATAAATTATTTAGAATTTCTAGCAGGGGATCCATATATTCCCATTTTTTGTTTTTAACTATCCTTTTGAGAAATATATCATTTGATTTTTTGTTTATATGTAACCAGCTTAGTAAGAAATAAATTCTTTAGAATTTCTAACAGAAGATCCGAAAAAGTGCAACACTAGCATATTCTTTGAGAAAATGTTTTAGTATAATACCTACTATGTTATTTAAAGACAAGAAGTACTGAAAATACAGAGTGACACTTTTACTAGCACTTAGAAAATACAAGAAATATATATCAAAATAAAAACTTAGATAACAATGCTGAAAATTATTGAAGGGAAGCTATTGATGTACTCAGCAATACCTAAATGTCAGTCAAACCCTATCTTGAACCCAAAATAACTCTTTACACTAACCCTGACACACAGTTAAGTAAGAATCAATTTGATTTTTTTTTCTAATTATATATAATTTTGTTGTTCTGTTAATTTTCAAATAGTATTTCTAATTGAATTCTTTTACATCTAGTTTTAAAAACTCCATTTTTAACATTCCATACTTTCAATAGAAGAGTGTTTGTCACACTGTAAAACTTTATATAAGATACGTTTTTTTTACTGCCAGTTCTAATTACCGAACAACACTAATCTCTTAATTTTCATGACACACAATTTCTTAATTGCTATTATAAAAAAATTTGGTAAATTTTTCTATAACATAAAACATTTTCCTATTACTTATATATTTTTTAAAACCATTTGAAATAAAGTTTTGCTTCTACTTGCTTATGTGTAAATATGTGTTTGTAATTAATTACAGATATTGTCCAGCAGAAAGGCTTGGAACACATCACAGTTGATGACTTGGTCAGTGAAATAACACCACGAGGAAGATGTGAGTCAAATATTTTTATTCGTTCAATTTAAACTGTAGTTTCATCTTTCAGGTAGTTTTTTTTTAAACCTTAATTTGATTATCTATTTGTAATTTATACCTAGCTGGTGACATAAAATAATTTATTGAAAATTTCTTTTTTTTTCCACCAGCTTTAGTGCCAGATGAAGTTAAAAAGGAATTGTTACAGAGGATTCGGACATTCCTCTCTCAGCAGTCAAATATTTGATACACTAGTGGAAATGGTTGTTTTCATATTTTGTTAATTTGAATACAATACTGTAAGACTTCCATGTATAGTATTATCACTAACTCAATCTTTTTGTCATAGTATATACAGCAAGTATTAATTGGTTCCTATCTTATGGGAGCAGGTGTACAAATGCTCTTGGGATAAAAAATTTAAGTTTAGCTTTTACAAACTGTTGTAGCTATACAGGGCATTGGTTAACAACTGCTTTTTTTTTTTAAATTGGGTATCATTACTATCAAGTGCTATTTTGTAAACTAACAAAATCACAGCAAAAATAATTTTACTATTTGATGCAATACTTTCTTTAATAAGTTTAGAAATTTTGCATGATTAGTGTATATACTTATTTTACAGCATTAAGTTTTATGTAAATTCACATTGAATTTTAAATCCCAATGTATTTCTTTTGATGGTTTTTTTTCTTCAGGGATGCTATGTCATGTTCCTTTTTTCCTCCATTTTCAAAATGTTGCTCAGGAAAAGTAAAAATGAATCTTTTGTCTAGATTGTCAAAGTGGTTGCTGCAGTTCACATGTCCTTCATTTGAGAATTGTGTTCAATATACCAAGAGACCAGTTTCATGAAATGTTACATTTTGAACAATATTTTATTCCTGTATAACCATCCCACTTTAAATCATCTTACATTGTTTTGTTCATTTGAATCCTAGCTCAGCAACACATTTGTAGAGAGTTGTTCGTAAATGAAAATACATTTTAGGGGATTTTTTTTTACTTACTCACACCCTCAGCAGTTTCTAAACTTTTAATTAAACAGGTCAGTATTATTATTTACAAAAATTGTTAGAATAATAAAGTTAATTACTTCTAAATTTAGTTTAAATTATTTTCTAAAATACTAGTCCAAACCCCCTATACCCCATCATTTATGGACAAATTTTTACCATTTGAAATCTCAATTGTTCATTCAAATTTTGCTCTTCATTTCCTGTTAAGATTTTGATGATTAAAGTAAACCCATTTTATTTTGTTGTATAGTGTAGCAGTAATTATGGTGGTGGGTTTTTTTTTTTAATTAGCTAGTATCTTTAATTAAAACTTTTAATCTTATTAACATTACTATATATAGACTGCTGTCTGTTCAATTGGTGATTTATTTAGCCAAAAAAAATTGTTTTCTGTTTTATTGGGGTTTTGTTTTGTTTGGTAATCGGTAATCAGAATGGTTATTTCCTGTAAGGGATTAAATGAGCAATTCTTTATTGGGCTGCCATAACAGACTTAGAGGACAAACCAAATAGTAACTGCTGATGTGTCATTACACTGTGCAGTATTGCTTAATGTCATTTACACCTGTCATTAATGTATGCGATATTGCTTGATGTCATGTTTTATATCTGTTAGAGAAATGACCCATCGTGTACATAATCTTGTAATAATGTATGTTAGGTTCTATGTTAAAAATAAACAGCAGGTACTTCAAACAGTTTTTCATTATTTCTTGAATGTTTATAAAAATATACACCTACAAGCACAATAATTATAGATTTGATTACACAAATATTACAGAATGTGATCAATAATTGTTAATTTATTCATATATTCTCAGTGCTATTCCTTCTACATTATATAAGTCATGTGATACAATACACTGTTGACTAAAACAAAATGAAATATAATTTGGCCTTTTGTTGAAAGTTACCACAAAACACATGGAATAGCAATACATATCATACATGTCAGGGTGATGTGTATCTATGAAAAGTATGTTGTTATTTTTGGAAAAATGAATTAAAAATGGTTGTGGATCATTTTACTTAAGATATGGCTTGTGGATAGTTTAGCAAAATAAATAATAAAAACATGAATCTTAAAAATTTAACCATTTTAAATAAATTAAGGTAAATATTTAAATATGAACAAAAGTGGAGTTTATGAACACTGTTACTAATTATATTTAAACAAGCAGCAAAGACTGGCATAAAGCATTTGAAAAACACCAACAATTACATCTGAAAAATTCCCTTTCCCCAATCACTTATGGATATGCTCAGAGTTAGTTTTTTTTTTGTTGTTCCCCTTCTCAAGTTACATACAGTTGAACCTAACCAATTATAATATTGTTCCCAGATATAACTAAAATAACTTTTATATAAAAAGATATTGTACAATTGTTTTTAAAAATGTGCATGTTATGAATTTTTTTTTAAAGTGACATCAAGGTATAAAGAAAAATACTGTATTTTGCTAACTCTCTATACTTAAAACTAACCATACAGCTTAATTATTACTGACAAGTTGCATGAAAGGCTTCAAAAAATCTATCTGAAAGACAGCATTAACAAGTAGGCATGTGCCCGTCCTTGCACACACAATTAAATACAATTTATATTTTATAAACTTTTAAACAATGCCCCTGCCGCTAACACATGTGGACAAGAAAACAAAACAGAAACTGTATACATTATAAATGTAAACACAACTGAGAGTTGTTGATCTGATTAAAAGAATGCATTACCCAGGAACATGAACTTTAAAATATTAATTTAAAAAAACTATTTAGTTTGATGTGATGCCAAATCATTTTAAACATTGCCTTATCACATTACAGTGATGTGTGACTCTATTAAGCAGACAAGGAAATATCATCACCCAAATTGTAATCTGAATATACCAGCAAGTCAGAAACATTATGACCATCTATTCTTTTAGATATTCATTGCCTCTCAATTTCCCAGCTCGTCTTCAAGTGAGATGACAACAAGCTGGGGTGGGCTAATGCTGATGGTTTACCACAGGGTCATTAAATATGGTAGCTATGGTGGACACACCTCATCGATCCTGTAACAACCGGCCAATGGGCTGTTTGTTACAGACACCTAAGATACACACATTTTCAACACTGTGCACCCCAGTGAATCAAAAGGTAACCAAAGATGTCCATTCATAGTAGTTAAAATTTGATTTGAATGATAGAGTTGCCTGTTTCTTTTCACCATAATCGCTGTGAATGCTAGACTATTGTCATTGTTTCCTCTTATCAAACTCGTGATTGCTAGACTGTTGTTATTGTTTCCTCTTATCATACTGTGATTGTTAGACTTGTCATTGTTTCCTCTTATCATACTCGTGATTGCTAGACTATTGTCATTATTTCCTCTCTATTTACTCATGGTTAGGCTGTTGTCATTGTTTCCTCTTATCATACTCATGATTGCTAGACTATTGTCATTATTTCCTCTCACTATACTTGACGTGGTTAGGCTGTCATCATTGTTTCTTCTGGTCAGCAGGCTGGACAATAAACTCCACACTTCCATCCACGCCACTTAACTGATCAGATGTCAGCGTAGCCTCGATCTCACACAACCCTTGTCTTCGTGGACAGATGGTGAAATCAAAGGAAACTTTTTCTCCTGGTTTTATGGCTTTCCTGATGAAATCAATCAAAAGTATAGGTTTAAAGTAAATTATGAGAATAGCTTTTCTGATGAATCATTCAAATACATGGGTTTAAAGTAAATTACAAGATACTAGCTTTCCTGATGAATCAATCAAAAACATGGGTTTAAAGAAAATTACAAGAAATAAACTAATGGAAGTTCAATCCTCCACGAGAAATTACAAGTGAAGTTTGATTAATTACCTATTAATATCAACTTAAAAATATTAGTAATAAAAACTTTTTTTTTACTTTGATGTGATACCAAATGTTTTTAAAACACTGCTTTTCACATAAAAACGATATGTGACACAGTCTTTAGAAAAATGACAAGATTTCATGAATCAAATTGTAATTTGAATACACCAGTAAGTCAGTAATAGATGGCTACATCATGATCATTCAGACCACAGTTAAAGTAGCATTCAGTAATGTTGTTGTTTGGGGGTTAAAAGTCTGCTTGCAACCACTAATACTATACCCCAGAATGTTATTTTTTTAATGCTTCCTTTCTTGATTATTTTAATTTTTGCTTACTTGGGTAGGTTAATTTTTTGTCTTTATTAAAAAAAGTAACTAGGTGAGTAGGACTCCTGTATTTATTAGTGATATAGATGTTGTAAACAAAATTGCTTTATGTAAAGAAAGCTGATAGGCTTTAAGTTAAAGGAAGGTTCAGCCAATAATACCAAAACTGAAAGACCCACCACAGTAATCAAATATGAAATAACTTTCAGTTTCAGGGTACAACCAAAGTTTTATATTCTCTAGTATCTAGGCCACATACAGGTGGAGTTTAGATTGTGTGCTTTACTTAACTGTCCAACATTTTTTACATTTAACATAAGTAAGTGAAAGAACATATTTTTTCTTTAACATGTAACAGATGTTCAAGAAAAAAAAAATCTTACTTTAGTGGGTGCACTTGATCTGATATGATTGAAGTCCCATCTAAGCAGATAGTAGCTGATGTCAAGCTGACCTCCAGTGGGTTAGTGAAACTCACTGTACCTGTCACTTGTTGCTTAGCAACAATCACATCTGGGATCTACCAAGAAAATAAAACTAAATTTTTTTTTAAACTATTATAACAAGATTTTCAATACATGGAACATAAAATAAGAAAAATAAAATGAACTATATTTCTTTAATGAAAGCATTGTTCCTTAAAGTATTTTTACTAAAGAAAGTTCGTTTTATTTTCTTATTTTTAGTGCATTTAAAGCTTGCTATTATAGAGGTATTTCATGATTTTCGTAACTTTTTAGTTAGTAGGAAAAAAAAAATTATTTAAAGAATACGTTGATATTAATGTATTTAAAATACAATAGTACAGTATTCAATTTCATAACTTTCATTCCATCTTATCTTATTTTGCCAGCACTTTACGTGACTAAATTTATCTGCGTTAAGACATGAAAAGTAGTAGGCCTAGTATTTGTAAAAGGATACTTCGGGGAAGTGTTTAAAGACAGAGCAGGGAGATAACTTAAAGTCAGGTGTGAAAGGGGAGGGCATTTTTTTAACATAGAGCAGGGAGACAACTTACAGTGAAGTCCAATGAAGGTTTGGAGAGGCTGAAGGGCTCTGAAAGGGCAAACTGTTGCTTGGTGGCCTTGACATTGAGAGAGGCATACACTATCATGGTGGCTTCAGGGTTCAGCTTGTTCATGTAGTCCTCACACACAATGTCCAAGATAAGATCATTTTCTGGGGGCCGGGGGGGGGGGTGTTTTTAATAAAACAAAATCTTATGATCTCAAATAAAGAATATAGTTAAAACCTTGGTCCTTGTTTACAAACAAATAAAAAATATATCTTCACATAATCTATTAGTGTCACAAATTTAGAGAAAATGTAGGTATCTGGTGCAATACCAGCCACCTCATTCTCATAAGATACAAGACCAGTGTATTGCCTAACTACCTTTACATTCCACTGACTTTCAATGGGATAATCTAAAATACACCCAACTTAGTCTATTATCAGTGGGTTTTGAACTCTGAAACTTTGTATTTATAGCCAAACATGTTTATTGTAACTTATATGACCACTGTTATGCCTAACTACCTTTATTTTCCTCTGACTTTCACAGTAACCATCACAAGAGGATAATCTCAACCACACCCAACCTAGTCTATTATCAGTAGGTTTTAAACTCTAAAACTTTGTATTTACAGCCAAACATATTTTTTGTATTTCTGATCCTCACCTTCCCCTGCAGTAACTTCCACATCATATTTTGTACTCTTGATTCTCTTGTCTGGAACGCCAGTGTAGAAACTGCTCAGTACAGTGACTCTACCCTCAATCTGATGGTCTTCTTTAGATTTATTTTTCATTCGTAATACAATCTACACAGAAAAATAGATACTATTTTATGAACCCAATATTTCACAACATGTTGGATTTACAAAAAAAAAGATTATTTTAATACGGCTAAGGTTATTTTGAAAGTTATTTAAGAACAATGTGGAACTGAGAGGATTTTTTCTTATATATTTAACATTCTTGCTGATTGCAACTTTACCTAATATAGGTCTATACTCTCTTTTTTTGTAACGAAACAATAGAAAATCCCGATATGGTTTTTTGTAATCAAAAGATAAAAGACTGTAAATAGTATAGCATTAAAAAAACTACATGAAGCACACACTATCAATGGTGTTCCAATAATCATGATTTGAGAGACAAAGATTCACAGTAATTTGAGTAATTTTATATGAAATGTTTCCATTAACATGAGTTACACTAGTGAATGTGTTGGCTAGCTGTGTTGTCACTGCTATGATAAAAATGTTTCCATTAACATGAGGTACACTAGTGAAAATGTTGGCTACCTGTGTTGTCACAGCTATGATAAAAATAAAAATCCTGGTCTCACCTGGAAGTTCTCCCCGATACTTGCAGAACTGGGCGTGACAAGGTGAAGGTCAATATCCTTTTCTCGTTCACCGTAGATGTGAAATCCAGCCCTGCTGCTGTGTTGGTGCACAAACTCTACAACTTTTTTCTCTTCCAACGAGCCTTCAACGATAACATGAGTCAGTGTTTACATGTAAGACCTTCAACCATAACACAAGTCTGTGTTTAAATGTCGGACATTTAACTATAACACCAGTCAGTGTTTAAACATCAGACCATCAATAAGACAGATGAAGTAGAGTTGGTCTGTTGCTGTGACCATGGTGTATAGCTGGTGATAATGGTACTAACCCCAGCCATGTTGACATACCCAACTTATGTCAGGTACCCATTAGTGCTGGATGGACCTAGCTCCCAGATCTCTTTCAAGATAACACTCCTACAACCCCCCCCCCCCCACCCCCAACACTAAATTTATCTCTGAACAATATTACAATGAACACCAGCTTACAAATTCTACAAATAAAATTGACAGAATCAAAGTTAGAGCCTTACAATATATATACATATATATATATATATATATATATATATATATATATATATATATATATATATATATATATATATATATATATATATATATATATATATATATATATATATATATATATATATATATATATATATATGTTAAATATAAACACCTCATAGAAATCACTGGTCTTGAAGCCCTAATGAAATTACCTTCTGGATACTTATAGTCCAGAGTGAGATCATGTCTGAAGTTGCTTCCAACTGCCTTGGTGCTGATGTGTTTGCCAATAGCGTGGGAGTTGATGTCCATCACAATCATTTCATCATTTGGAAGAACCTACACATACAATTAAATCAATCACACAAAATCTAAATAGTATATTTGTAGCCCTAAAAATTATATAATTAAAATAATAAATATTTTTGAATATCAAAACAGATGACATTCTAAAAAAAAGAAGAAATACAAAACATTGAAAACATGTCTGGGATCAAATATTTACCAACATAGTCTAGCACTGTAATGTTTATATTTTACATTATTTTTATCAGCAGCTTGTGTTATAGCCATACCACACCAGTAGCAAAAAAAATTACATATGTGAAAAAATTTTTTGTTAAATAAAAAAATAAAATTCAATATAGGCCTATTCCCCAACTTCAGAGTTTCTTCCAGGCATCTCCCCCAAACGAAATGGAATTGATATAGAAAATATATACTTTTAAAACAGCCCAACATAGGGACAGCGTGGTGAAGCAGTAGAGCATTCATTTCCTAACCCAAAAGTCATGAGTTCACCACCTAAGCTCATAACTATAGTACACTCTCTGACTGCATTGACTTATGCAAGTCCAAAAAATAGTCAGCAGAAACCCAGACCTGACAACCACGGCTGTAAAAAAAATGCTTGATTCTATCTTATTACTCTCTGCATAACTGAGATGAGCTGTCGGTTTCAGCTAGCAAGCAGGACTTACACCTAACCTGTTGCCAGTTGTTTTTTTTAACAAGGAATAAATTATGATTTTGCTAAGTTTTTAATTACCTTCCAAGTGACTTTATCGCCATTCACCTCACTAAAGATGAAAGCCACGTCATAATTCAGGTAGACATGGCCTTCCTTGACAGCTTTCACAGGTGCAGGGCCACACCTCGTTACACCTGGAGATAACACAATCTGGATCAGAAGTCAGCTCTACAACTAATTCATGCATTGTGGAATAACAAAATTAATGTTGCATAATTGAAGCAGTAAAGCATTGTTTAAACGCAACTAGTAATAAACTATGAATGATGTTTTGATTTTCTTTATTTTATTATAAATTTACAATAAAAAACCTTTTTTGCATTATATGCTAGTTCTATATTGTTTAATAGTATTTCTTGTGGTTTGGTAAAGTATTTTTGTTGTATTTACTTTTTAAGTTTCTTTTTAATCACACTATTTTGTTTCTAATATAGCGATATTGCTTTGTTTAACTAAAATATGAGGATTGGTGATAAGTGTTTGCATAAATTATAAAAATATTTTCAAAATGGAAGTTGGATAGTGGTGTAAATATTTTACCTTCACTAACTTCTTGAGGTGTTGCATCATGTGCCTGCCATCCATCATAGCCGTCAGGGAGGTCCAAACGTCGGAAGTAAGACTCGTTCCATACATGAAAATTCCTGTTTGATTAATTTAAATTAATATTATATCATTTCCTACTAATTATGATTTGCTGAAGTTAAATTATTTTATATCAAAGTATACTTTTAAAGCATTATATTCAAGTTGACAACAAAATATTTATTATTCTCCAGTAAGAATTTAAAATGTTCTAAAAATCAGGAATGTAAATGTGCTGGTTGAAACATTGTTGTTTGTTTATAAAAAGATATTTTTCAAGCAGTAAAAGTTCTAAGTGACAGCACAATTTGTAATATTTTGCACTCTGTAAACAAAATTTCTGAAAAATCTGGAATTCCTTACTCCATCCAGCTTTGATGGATACCTAACTCACTTTAGGGATGGTAAAGGTGACTGGGCATAATGCTGACTACACTATTCCATCATATGCTGAGGTCACAGAAACAGGTGAACTCTACTTTACTTGCCCCATGGGCAAAATAAAGGGAACTTTCCTTTTTTACCATATTGTAGCCTCAGTAACCACAGTTTCAGACATGCAAATATTGATATTGTAACATCTATCTGTATGTAGCTTATAACCTACCAAACTGAGTCATTCATCCAAGTGAGTGGCTCCCCATCTTCATCAAAATGGCTGTCAATTGTCATACTGCTGTCCCTATCATGTGCTGACTCAAAGTTTGTGACACACCGTGTAGGGATCCCAATGGCCCTAAGCACTGTAGGTGTGTTACATCACAGATTAGTCATTAATGTTATTAAATTTTTTATTTTATAATCAATCAAATATTTTTTAAATTCATGAGACATATTAATGTTGGTATGATGTAATCAAAGCTACGTTTTGATAGTAACTTCACCCAAACCCTGGCCCTAATCCAAATCTTAACACTAATACTGACAAATAACCTCAATAAGATACTGTACTGCCTGTATTTGTAATTTTCCCATAACATTAGGTTGCCTAGTGATTGCGCTATCTTTACTTGTTTAATACTGGCCACCAGTTGTTACGTTACGGGTTAGTCTCTGACAAAACAACTCTTCGTGACTATGTTCACTACTTTAATTCCGTCAAAAATATATATATTCAAAAGTAGCCCTCGTCCTAACCGCTAGCAACTGACCCCTGACAACCATTCACTCCAGCTATTATACCGCATTCGACCTTGGGATAACAATACACAAACACACCAGGGTTAACAATATTCTAGGGTAAACTCAACTCACACACTCACTCTCCCCTAATTCTAGATCATTCTATCCTATTCTAATCTAACCTACAACTGACCCGTAACAATAACTCAACTCATTCCCTGTTGATTGAGTTAAAGAGTTCAAGACACACGCAGAAAGCCATAATAAACAGCTGGGTAATGTCACGAGAGTTAACAAAGATTTAAGAGCATAATTTACAACCCTTAGAAGTCCTTTTACTCACATGAAGTGACCAGGCCTGAAAACACCCAGCACTGACCAAACTGGACAGGTTTGTTGTGCTGCATGAACTCTTGTAGAATTCTAACACTGCCAGACCATGACCACGGAACGTGAGAACCCTTGGGGTATTTCTTCGTCCACCTTCCTTCCAAAACACCATCATCATCATTGCTGTTTACCTGATTTGGATGTAAAATAGAGGATATTTTTATATACTAATTTAAAACTTCATCTGATGAGGGTAAAGGGAGGGGTTTGTTGTCACTAATTGGACTTAACAGCCTTAAAGATTAAAATTTAAAAATTTAACTTTTAAAAAGGACTGCCAGTTTAAAAAATAATAATGTTTGATTTACACATGACAAACTAATTTAAATACTTGTTTGTCTTTTTCAAAAAGAGAAAAAGCAAAAGTTGAATTATCCATTCAAGGTTATGTCAGCCCATCATGTCATATTCAGTAAAAGGACAAAAATTATCCCAAGTTTGCAATGTAATTTAATTCATCACTAGTACAAACTATAACAAAGAGGTTTATAAAAGACAATTTAAAGATATAACCATTACAATACCAGGGCAGATACTGTCCTGACAAAAGAGATGGGACTTCTCCTTGCAGCATCTCCTATCTCAGCTCTGTCCATCAGTAACAAAACTGCATCCAGTACTGGGTTGTCAAACTAAAAAAGTAAAAAAATTCATTTACCACTATAGCTGTTTATTTTTAAAAACTTTGGAAAAAAATATATTTCGCCAAGTAATCTTATAATTCTCTAGAAATAAAATAAAATTATTAATTTTTTTTAATGTTGTGATTTAAGATTGCATATATAATAATTGGACGAAAGGCATCAATAAAAATATTTAAATAGGTAGGTAGAATTATATACAAGTTTTACAGGCAAAGAAGAAACTATAAAAAAATTCAGAATTTTCCCTGTAGACACCTGATAAACTAATCAAAATAGTGGCCTATTTTAATAATATGTTTAAAAGCTTACTTTTTTTTCTTCCTACAATAACACAGCACAAAATATGAAAAGCTAATATTCTAGTTGACCCCAGTTGTATTGGCTTACCTGGCCAAAATACCAGGGTCTTCCATTGTTGTTAGATGCTGATCCCACCCAGATCCTCCCGTGATCATTGAGGACATACTCGTACCTGTCATCTCCATCAGACATGTACACTACATCAGCTAAAACAGATGATATATACATGTATTAATGTTGTATTTGCTGTGTTATATTAGTTATACTAATCTATACATAACCTCTATAATAAGATAAAAATTAAAATGTTTTATTAGATTTGATTACATTTGATTATTTTAAGAACAATGAGGAACTGATAGGGTTCGTTCTTATATATTTCAAATTCTCGCTGATTTAAACATTCTCTAAAAATTTTCTATAACAAAACAATAGAAATCATGGTATGGTTTTTTGTCATCCATGTACACTCCAAAAACTATCATAATAAAATATTCATTTTGTATATTATATATGTTAGGGGTTCGTCGAGAAATAGATATCTTATATCCCACTTCTGACACCAAATGTTAGGGGGGGGGGGTTTAAACCGAAGAGGTTTTCTTATTCACTCATCCGTGCACCTTTGCGTGGTGACAAAGGGGTCTAATAGACCTGAGCGAAACTAATTTACATCTATACAACACCAATATTAAACTAAAAATAAAACATAGTAAACACACATAATATGCATTTATTTATCTTCAATATGACGTCACAAGGGTTTATAAGTTAAAAGCAAAGACACAATACAAATTAGACCTGGCCAGGCTTTCATATTCAAGAAAACATCACTTGAATTTCTAATATAAGTCAAAAAGACAAAAATAATCAAACTTACATTTCGATGTGGAATTATTCACCGTAGTTACTGACATTAATTCATAGAAAACATATATAAGTGTGGATAGCAAACCTACATTTACGCAACTCAGAATTTATACATATGAATGTCCTTTCCTCTAGTCCTAATTTAACTACTTGCACTGCTTATGTAATCTCAGAATCACACTTGTCAAAGTTATTCTTCCTAGTCCTAATTTCACTTGTACTGCTATGTAATCTTAAAATCAAAAACGTAAATGTCATCGTCTCTAGTTCTAACTTTACTACTTTGCACTGTTATGTAATCCCAGAATCACACGGGTAAATGTTATCATCACTAATTCTGATTCCACTAATCAAACACGGTTAAAGTTCATCTATGAATACTCATCAGTACAATCTAGCTCGACACTCAAGCGGCAGGAAGTTTCCAGCTACTAGAAGAAAACATTGAGCCACTTGTACAAACATCGGGCCACAAAGATAATGGCCACTGGAACGAAGAACATATCTACACGGCAGGAAGATTTCCAGCCACTGGAATAAACATTTGGCCACTGGTACAAACATCGGGCCACAAAGATAATGGCAACTGGAACGAACAACATATCTACACGGCAGACGTTTGGCCACTGGTACAACATTGGCCACATGTATAAACATAGGTCACATATGTAAATATCTGGAACGAAGCACATATGTACAGCAACAAAACATCGGCTGGGCCAATAATCCAGCCTTAGTGGCCACTGTGGCCAGCCATAAGGCTGCCACCATCCGAGGCCTAGACCATCGTGTCTAGCCTCCGATACGTGTGTAGGAGAGAGAGACCTCAACATAGTCGCCCTTCCTCATATATAGGCTAGTCTTGCCCCCCTTATCATCTCCCTAGAGCTATAGAACCTGAGTTGGGCTCCGTACCATCTCTCGACGTTCGAGATAACACCGGTCACTATGCACCCATGCGTTGCACACCCCATAATTGACCGCTATAGATCTTCCCGTTGTCTCACGGCTAACGATCGTGTCATACACTGCTCGAGCTAACGCACGGCCACGCGGTACTCCCGCCGCGTTTCACACCCGACAACTGACCACAACAGAGATCATGAGTAATGATTCTACCGGGATGGCCAGCGGCATGTCCGAACTCAACTTTAGACATAAATCACTGCGGGTGTCTTCCCAGCATTACGTGTCACTCATGCACCTGCATAGAGCTCGCAGCCCTTAACGACCAGAGTGAGCCGATAACATCTTAATTAAAATTTAGATTTCCCTGGCCTGCTCATCCCCAATATCTTAGATTAACCCCTTGGGTTTCTGTAACTAGTCCTAGTCACCTTAGCCTCTTTAATAAGCACCCAAGTTACTATTTTACTTAAAAATAACAATATAATACCAGCCAACATGCTTACTTAAGAATCAACAATTTGGTACCAGCCAACATATATCATACAATTTATACTGTGCAACATATTGTTTCTATCAACTAAAAATGAAAACACAATAATGTATAATTAATATCCTATCTGTTGAGTATCTACAAGTTTGTCCACTTAAAAAGTGTTTAGACGCAACTGTCACCAACTATGTCAGGTACCAATTAGGGCTGAGTTGACTCAGGGTCTCAAACCCTAATAAATCATGATCTAATAAACTTAAGTTACCTTCACACCATGGGTTGAAGAGGAGATAAATCTCTTCGTCCTCTGACTCATATCTTCTCAGTGTCTTTTCATCCTTGCCAACCATCGTTTCTATAAACAGACCATATTTTCCTACTAGTGCATTAGCTGGAGAAAATATTTGAACTTCAAGATTGGTCCTGTCCACTTTATGAACTCCAGCTGACCACTGACTAGCTTTTGTGGACACCTTGTTCTTTCCTTCCAAATTTAATTTTAACCGTAACAATGTCTCTTTGCTTTCTTGAGGGCGACTGCCTGGAATATAAAAATAAATTAATTAAAATTAAGAGATGCTTTGTTGTTGGGATCAATCCTGCTTGACAAAATTTACTGAATTGTCTTATTTGTGTTATAGGGCTGAAAACATTTCAGTCCTAAGGAACTTTAACTCTCCTATAAACTTTTGATTACAAATGTATAGGGCTATAAATAGAATTATCTCCCTTAGATCTCAAATTGCCATCTACTATTTGTATGTAAGTTAAAACAATTCAAGTGATGTTTTTAAGATCAGATTCTGACTTGTGACTTTAGGATGTCACTGAGACCACCCAGCTCTGATGGGTACCTGACTCATGTTAGGGAAACTAAGGCAGCTGGGCATAGAGTTGACCACACTATCCCTTCATATGCAAAGATTATTAAAACAAACTCTTCTTAATCTGCCTGATATATCTTGGGCATGATAGGAAAAGATGATGATGGTTATTTGATAGGTAGAGATGAAATTTTGTGACACTATTTTAAGGAGTGGGTCTGTGTTTTTATAAAACAGTAGAGGGCATCAGGGGTAAAAATCAGCTTAAATTATTTGACTTTTATCTGATTTTAAAAACAAGTCTTGTGTACTTACCAAATGCTAACTGTACAACTAGTGAATCAGTCTCCACATCAACATCCCTATCAAAGCTGATGGTGATTGAGAACACCTTCCCCCTTCTAACCACAAGGTCATTGACCTCGTACTCCCAGGTGTGATGATCAGATCCATTCTTTGATTTGTGGAAATCAATACTTGACACCTGTAAAGCCTGACCGGTGACTGTAATATCAAGTATTATTTTTTTAATAAAATAAAAGGTTTTTTTTTAAAACTCTGCCATCATGCAAACAAAGGTTCTTTCAGACATTTTTCTGTGGCAGGAGGGGGAAATATTTTTTAGCCCTTGGGGGAGGGGGGGTGTAGTGCCCCTCCAGAGAAAGTGATGCCTGAAAGAAAACCTATCTGTAATCAAGCATTGCAAATCAAAACAACAGTAAGAAAAATTCTCAGAATACCAGCTGTGATTAGCATCAGACTTTTTGCATCGCATTTGTTTGACTCTAATTGCCAGTTTGAATGACAATGTTTACCATTTTCCAGTTTGATTCTAAAATAACTTTTGGTGTTTATTTAACTAACACAATATTTGGCATTGGAATTGATTTTTTTATTAAATGTTTCTGTTTGAGATGGTGGCCGGAAAAAACCGCAACGGAAAAAAGCGCAAAACAAAAGGCGCAACGGAAAAAAGCGCACACGGAAAAAAGCGCAAAGAGAAAAAAGCGCACACAGAAAAAAGCGCAAAGAGAAAAAAGCGCAAACGGAAAAAAGCGCAAAGAGAAAAAAGCGTACACAGAAAAAAGCGCAAACAGAAAAAAGCGCAAACGGAAAAAAGCGCAAAGAGAAAAAGCGCACACGGAAAAAAGCGCAAACAGAAAAAAGCGCAAACAGAAAAAAGCGCAAAGAGAAAAAAGCGCACACAGAAAAAAGCGCAAACAGAAAAAAGCGCAAACGGAAAAAAGCGCAAAGAGAAAAAAGCGCAAACGGAAAAAAGCGCAAACGGAAAAAAGCGCACACGGAAAAAAGCGCAAACGGAAAAAAGCGCAAACGGAAAAAAGCGCAAACAGAAAAAAGCGCAAACGGAAAAAAGCGCAAACAGAAAAAAGCGCACACAGAAAAAAGCGCAAACAGAAAAAAGCGCAAACGGAAAAAAGCGCAAACAGAAAAAAGCGCACACAGAAAAAAGCGCAAACGGAAAAAAGCGCAAACAGAAACAGAAAAATGCGCAACCAGAAAAAACACAACGAAAAATGTGCAAAAGAGAAATTTAGCACAAAGACCATATGGACTAGATGACACATTTATACATGACTGTTAGGGCTGCTGTGAGAGTGTCGTGTTTGATCACGTGATCTACTACCATTTAAAGCGTACCACTACCATCTGCATTCCCATCACCACGATACAGGCGATAATCACTTTACACAATGCCTATTATTTTCTTGGTCAATAATTATTCAACTACTATTCTCGTATAAACATAAAACTATCGACATTACACGAAGTATCTTTCACATTCTCCCTAGTCCGAACTACCTAGCTTGCATACCATAACAACCCGTTCCTATGGCAAAACTTCAATCTCTTTCATCCGCGTCAGTGGCGTAGGCAGGGGGGGGTTTATGGGGGGTCATAACCCCCCATAGACCCCTCGGTATATATATATATTATATATATATATATATATATATATATATATATATATATATATATATATATATATATATATATATATATATATATGCAAATCGAAAGTCTGAGGGGGGGGGGGTACAATCGACAGTTTGGGGGGTGGGGGGGGGGGAGTCTGGAAGAAACACTGCATGTAGCCTATATAACAGAAGAGCTATGGTTGTTTATATCATTTTGCATTCGTCCGGTAAACATTTCAGTAAAATACCTTAAAAACCTTCCATAACCTTTTTATAAAGAAACAAAGAGAGATGAAGTTTTATAATAACAACAGGCTACATGCAGTGTTTCTTCCAGACTTTTTCCCCCCTCAAACTTTCGATTGTACCCCCCTCCTCAAACTTTGATATCCACCCCCCTCATACTTTATATATATATATATATATATATATATATATATATATATATATATATATATATATATATATATATACCGAGGGGTCTATGGGGGGGGGGGGTTATGACCATCTAACCCCCCTGCCTACGCCATTGCATATAAGTATTCGCATAGATTTAGAGTAGCGTCCCTTTTGTCTACATGTTTTCATTACCCTTCAAACAAAAGTCTATTTTAGTTATATTGAGATTAAAGAATGTAAATAAATAGTATACACAATTCTGTAGAATAGGAACGATTGGGAGGGAAGTGACATTTAGCGCAGGAAATTTAGAGGTTAGGTAGGGTATAATAAATGGTGGGGTTAGGAAAGTTAAGGGGTCCTTTCTCTAATAGGCAGTTTATGTCTCTTTCGTACTTTCGTGTTGGTTTATTGTCGAACCTGTCCTCACCTCACATCACAACAGTTGGGTGACGCTTACCGTGTAATGTTAAAATAAATAGCATGTCATTGAGTTAGTTCGAAGTGAGTTTTCATACAAGCCCAACGCACTAATTAAGGTTGTCGCAAAATGTAACATATAGACTATGTAACATATGTCAATGATGTCAATGAGTTTTCATTAAAAAAAAGATGTCTAGTACAGTTTACGAAACTTACGAACTTCGCCGATACTTTTTTGGTGGGTAGTTTGGTAAGTATGTAGGCGGGTAGGTGGGTAGTAGGTAGGTAGGTAGGTGCGTCATGATGTGAAAAAATATTAAATACAAAATTGTTATTTTGGTGCGAATGAATGTTGTTACGAGAGATATGACGAATGCATGTTTGATGACGCGGATGAAAGAGATTGAAGTTTTGCCATAGGAACGGGTTGTTATGGTATGCAAGCTAGGTAGTTCGGACTAGGGAGAATGTGAAAGATACTTCGTGTAATGTCGATAGTTTTATGTTTATACGAGAATAGTAGTTGAATAATTATTGACCAAGAAAATAATAGGCATTGTGTAAAGTGATTATCGCCTGTATCGTGGTGATGGGAATGCAGATGGTAGTGGTACGCTTTAAATGGTAGTAGATCACGTGATCAAACACGACACTCTCACAGCAGCCCTAACAGTCATGTATAAATGTGTCATTTAGTCCATATGGTCTTTGTGCTAAATTTCTCTTTTGCACATTTTTTGTTGTGTTTTTTCTGGTTGCGCATTTTTCTGTTTCTGTTTGCGCTTTTTTCCGTTTGCGCTTTTTTCTGTGTGCGCTTTTTTCTGTTTGCGCTTTTTTCCGTTTGCGCTTTTTTCTGTTTGCGCTTTTTTCTGTGTGCGCTTTTTTCTGTTTGCGCTTTTTTCCGTTTGCGCTTTTTTCCGTTTGCGCTTTTTTCCGTTTGCGCTTTTTTCCGTGTGCGCTTTTTTCTGTTTGCGCTTTTTTCCGTTTGCGCTTTTTTCTCTTTGCGCTTTTTTCCGTTTGCGCTTTTTTCTGTTTGCGCTTTTTTCTGTGTGCGCTTTTTTCTCTTTGCGCTTTTTTCTGTTTGCGCTTTTTTCTGTTTGCGCTTTTTTCCGTGTGCGCTTTTTTCTCTTTGCGCTTTTTTCCGTTTGCGCTTTTTTCTGTTTGCGCTTTTTTCTGTGTGCGCTTTTTTCTCTTTGCGCTTTTTTCCGTTTGCGCTTTTTTCTCTTTGCGCTTTTTTCTGTGTGCGCTTTTTCTCTTTGCGCTTTTTTCCGTGTGCGCTTTTTTCCGTTGCGCTTTTTGATTTGCGCTTTTTTCCGTTGCGCTTTTTTCCGTTGCGGTTCTTTCTGGGAACCGTTTGAGATATAGATACACTGGTATGGTATAAAAATGTTTACTCTTGACTGGCATAGATACGTTACAATGTTTACCATGGTCCAGTATGAGAAAGAATGTTAACCATGCATAACAAATAGAATGTTTACCATGTGTAACCGACAGAATGTTTACCATGTGTGACAGACAGAATGTTTACCATGTGTGACAGACAGAATGTTTACCATGTGAGACAGACAGAATGTTTACCATGTGTGACAGACAGAATGTTTACCATGTGAGACAGACAGAATGTTTACCTTGTGTGACAGACAGAATGTTTACCATGTGTGACAGACAGAATGTTTACCATGTGAGACAGACAGAATGTTTACCATGTGTGACAGACAGAATGTTTACCATGTGTGACAGACAATGTTTACCATGTGTGACAGACAGAATGTTTACCATGTGAGACAGACAAAATGTTTACCATGTGTGACAGACAGAATGTTTACCATGTGATAGACAGAATGTTTACCTTGTGTGACAGACAGAATGTTTACCCTGTGTGACAGACAGAATGTTTACCCTGTGTGACAGACAGAATGTTTACCCTGTGTGACTGAAAGTGAATGTTTACCATGTGTGACAGACAGAATGTTTACCCTGTGGGACAGAATGTTTACCCTGTGTGACAGAATGTTTACCCTGTGTGACAGACAGAATGTTTACCCTGACAGAATGTTTACCCTGTGTGACAGAATGTTTACCCTGTGTGACAGAATGTTTACCCTGTGTGACAGAATGTTTACCCTGTGTGTTAAAATGTTTACCGTGGTCAGGTTGTTTGAGCAGGTTGCTCCTGCTCCTGTGTTCCTCATCAGACAACCAGTTTGTCCTGCCCTCCTGCTCACCCCCAAGTTTGGCTGCATGTTTAGCTCGGCTCCTGCGTGAGCACACAAGTGTTTAACATCATCAGTTAAAACATGAGTTGGTTTAATACATGTAGTCACAAGTGTTTAACATCATCAGTTAAAACATGAGTTGGTTTAATACATGTACCAGTCACAAGTGTTGAACATCATCAGTTAAAACATGAGTTGGTTTAATACATGTACCAGTCACAAGTGTTGAACATCATCAGTTAAAACATGAGTTGGTTTAATACATGTACCAGTCACAAGTGTTGAACATCATCAGTTAAAACATGAGTTGGTTTAATACATGTACCAGTCACAAGTGTTGAACATCATCAGTTAAAACATGAGTTGGTTTAATACATGTACCAGTCACAAGTGTTGAACATCATCAGTTAAAACATGAGTTGGTTTAATACATGTACCAGTCACAAGTGTTGAACATCATCAGTTAAAACATGAGTTGGTTTAATACAAGTACGAGCACCAGAGGCAAGTGTTGAGCATCAACATTTAAATAGTTCGTACAGTATTCTACAGAGTAGATTTATTATATGAATCAGTCATATCATCATATAAAACATGAGTTGGTTTAAGAATCTACAGAGGAAATTTATCAGATGCATGCTACCAGCACTAGAACAAGATATGTATTTCATTAAAACATGCATGAAATGGATCAGACCCAGAGGCGTAGCGACCCTTCCCGGCGCCCGGAGACAAACATTCAATTTGGCGCTCCCCATCGGGAGCAAATTTTCAATTTGCAACCTCCCCCCCCCCCCCCTCAAACTGCAAAAATACAGCTAAAATGACATTTTAATTTGTTTTTACAACCCATTTTGGCGCCCCCTAAGGTCGGCGCCCGGGGACATATGTCCCCCCCTGCCCCCCCCATCTCTACGTCTCTGATCAGACCTACGTGTTCTACTTCATTTAAAACATAACGTTGGTTTAACAATTTAACACAAGTAATAGCCCTAGGCACAAGAGATGTTCTTCTTTAAAACATGCATGAAGTTTATCAGACATAAGTGTTCTATTTCATTATTTAAAACTTGAGTTCGTTCAATATTCTACATAGTAAATTTATAACAAGTATCAGGCACACAGAGTTTCTTCCATGCATCTCTTCCTGGGGGGGGGGGGGGGAAACGAGATGGAATTTATATAGTAAAAATATACTTTTACTAGTGTCCGCCCCCCCCCCCCCGGAAAATGTTGACCCCCCCCCCCCCCCCGAAAATATCAAGTGCCGCCCCCCCCCCCCCCCCCCCCGGAGAAAAAAGTCTGGAACAAACACTGCAGGCACAAGAGGTGCCCTTCATTAATTAAAACATCAGTTCGATTATAATCTACATCGTCGCCTATATTTATCAAAAGTATCAGACACAAGTGCTCTACTTCATTATTGAAAACTTAAGTTCGTTTATAATCTACTAAGTAAATGTATCACATGTACCAGCCTGTGTTACTGGAGTAAATTAGGCCTACATAAGTGATGACACAAACTACCTGTCACAACCGGATGACTAGCTGTCAAGTTGTGAATGGGACTAGTAAAACTCAGCCCAAGAAACTCACTATTAGCCAAGGAGTCACAATGGGGGACACAAAAAGTGGGGGGGGGGGGGGCTTAGGTAGGAGATCCGGTGTCATCGTTCCCACCATTAGCACTAAACACTAATCCTAACATTGCAATACAACTTACTACCTAACACCCCTTCTTTTAGAACAGTCCATTGATCGACAATGACAAAAGGAATACTCTCTTATCATTTTTAGCAAATTCTATAACTAACCAATCTACAATCAGGGCTTTTAAGTTAAGTTTTTTTTCAGAATCCTTGCTTAGACCTATACGAAAAAAAATATCTTTCATCTTTTTATTTATATCCCCCAATAATAGGTCACAACCTAGTTATTTGATTGGTCACTTGGCCCCCTTACTACGTCACTCTTGCATTCTAACAGCCATGCACTGCGCTGTTTCAGTATGCATGTAAGTCAGTAGGTTACTCACCTTGACCTTCCTCTACGGTATTGTTCAACCCTAGTGTCGTATGGGCTGTGCTCTGTGTACTATATAAAATTCTAAACCTACTGTTGGGATAGTCTATTAGAGAAGTAGCGACGGGGGGAGGGGAGTACGTATGTCCCCGGGCGCCGACCCTAGGGTCTGCAGTTTTGAATTATAAATGTTTAAAAATATGGGGGGGGTGCCAAATTAAAAGTTTGTCCCCGGGCGCCGGGAGGGGTCGCTACGCCTCTGTAGTTTATCCACAAACAGGTGTATACCCTGACATCTCACTTACACTATGTATATAATACATGTCTTAAGAAAGAAAACATAATTCGCAACAGGTTAATGTTCTATGAAAATCCACGCAACATAGACTGATGTAGTATAAATGTCGCTAAGCGCAGTGTTAGAATCTCCTGCCCTATAGAGATTCTGCCCTCGGTCTGGTATAAAATGTAAAAAATGACCAACACAGTTAGCGACATTCGTGACTGTACCAATGGTCCCTTCCCCCCCCCCCCCCCCCCCCCAATGGTTAGACGTACGCCCGGCCGTGTAGTAGTTATAAACCTGCCCCGCGGTCATTTTGTCGAATAGCTTTTCGATGTAGCTTATAAATCTGTTTCTATCAAGCATCCTTCGGTTGGGGGAGGGGGGTGGGGGCGCCTCCCGCTGACGAAATAAATAAAAATTTATACATAACATATAGGTTTACTATGACCAGTGTCCGAGTTTCAAGCGCTCCAGTCCCCTTACTATGAATACATGTCTGAAAGAAACTGATAACTTTAAAGTACGATCCGCACCAAAAAAAAAATATTACACGCACGCTATGGTTCAATAGATGGACTATTAGCCAGCGCTTAACATTTTATCAAACGTTTCAGGTAAACAAAAACAACTTTCCTGTTGAAAGATTTAGATCTAGTCTTAGTAACCTATGAACCGTTAACAAGAGAGATCCTTGCAGAAGTCCATAAACATATCGGAGGGTGTGGGGAAATTGCGAGACGCGAAAAGCGAAATGGCGAGGCGGGAAAATGCGAGAAGGTAATGCGAGACATACCTGCGGAATTAAGGGTAAATAGCGAGACATTTTTTGCGAAAAAATTTTGTCCTTTTTTTTTCATCTTTATTTGTTTAAATTATTTTTTGTTTGTTTTAAAATAAACAAGCATTTAGCCATACCCTTTAACACGAGTGTTGTATGTTGTTATTTTTTATCTAGATACTAAGAAGATAGATAGATCTATATCTAGATCTATCTATTTAAAAATCCTAACATCGTTGCTGTGCTACTGTCATCGCCCGCTCTTGTTAGCGAGAGGAAAATCCCGTCTCAGTCGGCATTAATTTTAAAAATCTAGCCCGCTCATGTTTATACAAACGTGAGCGGGGTCATTGTGAATTGGTATATTCTGTAACATGTAGGCCTATTCATGGATTGTTGTACTTGCAAAAAGTGTAAAAGTATAAACATTTCTAAAAAGTGCAATTTATTTTTTATTAAGTAATTTTAATTACAAACAAAATTTACAAACAAAATCTTCTGAAACAGTCCTCAAACACACCTCGTGACACCATATTTCACACATAGTACACCCAACCTAGTATATTAGACTCCCATTTGTACATTTTTCTTTTGCTACTTCTTCCAATCCACATTCACAACATTTCACATTCTCATCACAGTTGACCTCCTCGTTCATCCCACAAACAACACTGGCACCCATGTTCTCATCATCATCATCCGCACGCTCAACATCTGTTTTCCGTTTTTTATAATTTGTATTTTTTATCATTTCTGTAATTTTGGCAATGTCTTGCTCTTTGTTGTCACCAGCAGTTGAGTTTTTTTAAAACATCGATATTTTCCCAAAATCTTGTCTAATTTCGGTCAAAATAGAGTATTTTAATCAATTCCTATTACAATGTATTAAAACAGTTTTCTAAAACTAAAACGCGAAAAAACGTCTAAAATTCTTTTTCTAACATTGCTTTTTTATAGTGTGACTTCACATCTAACTCCCCCCCCCCCTCCTCCCCCTCATCACACACCGTCATAAAATTACAGACCACCCCCCCCCCCCCTACGAGTGTGACTTAATTTATGGAAGACCCCAAATAACACCACCACCAAAACCAAAAAAATTCAGACAAGTTCAACTTGGTTTTAAAAATATTTGAAGTAGGCCCATAGCTTTCGACATAGCACGACCAACTGATAATATCGGTGACGTCATTTTATTTTGTTGTATCCAAATGATGTAGGCATTTCCTTGTGCTTAGATTTATATGGTAAAAAAAGCTAGAAATAAAATCGGCTATAATACACAATTTCTATGCAACAATAGAAAATATGTTTGCGGCGGCAGCGGATCCGGGCACGGCGATCTCCAAAGACGGTAAATCAGGCGGCCTCGGCGTTCCACACAAAAGACAGAAGTTGATCTATCGTCGGCGGTATTTCCGTCGGTTTCGAACAAGGTGGTATTCTAAGTCGACACAAAAGATGGGGGGAGTTGACAAATCATCAGTATGTCTAGCGACGGAAAAATCGGAAGTTTTAACAATGTAAACGAAACGTCTTTGATGTCTGGACCAAATACCACTGAAAATCAGGTGCGGTAAATTTTTCGCAGAAATCTTCGCATTTCAACACCACCCAGCGTAAGTATCGGCTTGTGGTAAAATGCGAGACAAAAAAGTCACGTGACCGACCGTTTTCGCGCCCTTCTCGCATTTTCCCGCCTCGCCATTTCGCTTTTCGCGTCTCGCAATTTCCCCACACCCCATATCGGATAGAATGGATAACCTTGACCTCTACGACCTCATGCTATCCTCGAGGTTTACTAAGACGTAAACAAAACTTTTTAGCGCAATTTCCATTCTGGAGAATTGCGTTTATTAACCCGTCATTTCTGGATGTATGAATGTATGAATGAATGAATGGATGGATGTGTGTCCGCAGCTTTAAGTCGTATCTCCTCCTCAACGAAGCAATATCGAGGACTAGTTCCAAAAGCAATTATGTTAAGCAAGTTACGAGGATGAACATAGGCCCAAAAAATTCCGGGTTTCTTTCATGGATTTCCCGGAAAAACCAAAAAACCTCGACAAAATGCAGTTTTTTGCCCATATCTCGGCAACCAGACCACTTAGCGACTTGAAACATGTACCAATCGATTCCTGCCATAATTTAGAACAATATTGCCGAAGAAAGTTTTCAAAAATATCCTTTTGTTCGGTCACAAAATTTTTTTTAATTAATTAAAATTTGGACCGAATTAGTAGGCATTTTTATCCAACCACACCACACGCGTCATCACGTTCAATGGCTGCGTCATTACGTTCAGTAGCTAGGCGCGCAATGGTTTTTAGTCATGTAACTCTATTGTAAATAAAACATGTATTTTAACCAATGGTTTTACTAACCCTGCTCTTGATTTACGCTACGACAGAGCTATTTTTAGATAACATAAGGAAATTGCGCTAAAATTGTCACTAGACTTTTTAATTACCTTGTTTTTCATGAGACACAAAGCAGTTTGTCATTTTAATTAACTGTTGTTGTATAGCCTTGTCAAAAAAAAAAAAAAAAACCCTTCAGCAACTGGGATACTACTAGTTAACAGCAGAGAGGGAAAGGGGGGGGGGGGAGATTTGGATGCCCATGTCCTATGTTACATTATCGTTGATGAGGGTTATTAAGCAAACAACTGAAACGCGGTTAAAGTGACGAGCCCTCTGCAACCATGCATGTTAAATGCAGCAGTTTGTAGAGACCACGGCAAAATAGTTGTTTACCCAATACGGTACAGAGTGATCAAAAATCTAATTTACCTGGTGAAATATCGATGTTTTTTCAGCTTCGTTGGTGGGGCAGGTGGAGTAGAGGAACTTGACCTCTTTCGCCTCGTCCTCGCCATCAAGTGTAGGCTATTTGTCTAGAATATTTAAAATAAATATTAAGCATAGGCCTATTTATCGTTTTTTTAATTAAATAATTCCGCTACGGGATAGTTTAAGTTTAATACTTGTAAATGTGGTGGTTAATGTACTGGTAACTTCAGTTTAACCGGTTAACTCTCCGACATAACTCTGCTATGCACTACGCAGTTTTAAATCGCTATGTAGATTCCGAAGGTCAGATTGCCGCTGAATCAACTGAGCACAAACGTCAATGTTTTTGTATAGAGTCCTTTCATATGACGTCACGTCCGTTCGTGATACCTACGCCCGCCGCCACAGTGGTGTACATCAGACGTAAACACAATCAGCTGTTCGCCAGCGCTGGACGTGTTCACCAGCGCTGGACGCGTTCACTGTATGTAAAGAACCGCACCCGCGGAAAAGGAAAAATACGTTAAAAAACTTGAACTCTTAGGAATTGAAGATCCTTATACTGTTATTGACAGTTTCGTATAAATAAATATGTGGACAAAATTTCTAAATAAAAATACTGTTAGTAATACTGTTTGCGTTTAGAGTTAAAGTAGCCGAATATGATCAAATGCAGTTCTCGATACTTTGTTTCATGTAAGGACAGTAAAATAATAAACTTCATTTTAGTTATAAAAGATAACTATTAATAAAACAAATATGCTCGACCTTCACAAATACTAATAGTAAAAGACAAAGTCAAAAGTAATAGGCTAATAAGAATAATAAGATCTAATAGTAGGCCTAATACCTGGCTCCGCTGGGTAGACATAGAATCTAGAATCTACTTCTTTACTTAAATTTAATTACTTTAGATCTACATTCGATTCAAAATACACCCATAATAAATCAAAAGTAGTCATAATTGGCCTAATAAAGCATTTAATTGTCTCTAAGATCTAAAATCTCGCTCTATTATCTAATCATTTTTTTAGCAAACGAAATTTTCTGAAATTGAAATAGATTATATAACTAGACTTAGATCTAGAATCTGCTACTTAAATTAAATTGTAAAACTTTATACAAGCATGTAGTTGATATTATTGTAGTAGAAGGCTTTAATAAATTACTAAGGCCTACCTACTTTGTTGTCTTTTTACAGCAATATGGATTGTATCTGATACTGGACTGAGTTTAATTAAATTCAAATTCATATCTAGTAATTGGTCTACTAAGTTTTTGTAGCCTAGTAGTACAATCTAGATCATACCAGCCAACAACAAATAACCACATTATTATTATTTGGTTAATGATTAGGCTAATTTTTTTTTAAATCCACTGTTTATAAAAGAAACAAATCAAGCCAGAAACATTATAAGTGAGATGGTTTAGAATAATAACAATGGACCCAGTCTACAATTGATACAATTGCAGGTCTACATAGGGCCTACAGTCTAGTAGTTTACAGTAGGCACCTAGTGTGTAGCTAGTATACTAGTGTGTAGCTGTCCAGAGTTAAGATTCTTAATGCTTTCCCCTGATAAGCCGTGTGCTATAAATGACATAACATGACACCGAGGTGAGAAGTGTTGAGGGGAGAGCAGTGGGACTTTCCCCTTTGTTCTCCCTGCTGGGCCCTGAGGGTCAAAATTATATAAGAAATACTATCTCTGTGGGGCTGGGTATCACGGAGGTGAGACATTTTCAGGGGAGGGCAGGGCAGACTCCTCTTTGGTTTTATTGTGGGCTAGATACAGGTGGGGGCAGCCATTATGAGGGTTGAACGTCAGTATTAATGTGGATTTTAAGGGTCTTAAATTGTATAACATGCTACCCAGATTGGTTATTACCCATGGATTATATTAGCCGTTGTAGTGTGGGTTTTGTAGGAGTTAAGTGGTCTCACGTTTGCTACAGTAGATAACCTCTAATATATTACTGCATTTGATCAGCTTCGTCTACTTAAACTCTAAACGCAAACGGTATTACTAACAGTATTTTTATTTAGAAATTTCGGCCACATATTTATATTATCCACGAAACTGTCAATAACTGTATAAGGATCTTCAATTCCTAAGAGTTCAAGTTTTTTAACATATTTTTCCTTTTCCGCGGGCGCGATTCTTTACATACGGTGAACACGTCCAGCGCTGGCGAACAGCTGATTGTGTTTACGTCTGATGTACACCACTGTGGCGGCGGGCGTAGGTATCACGTGATTTAGGTCACGTGTTTGCAAGGACTCTATTGCTCCGTTTAAAAAGGTGAAGGTCAAAACGGGATGTTCTTTTTATGTAGGCATGTGCGGGCGATTTTGAAACAAGCGAGAGATTTGCGACGAAGATAAATGAAACTATTTAAATTGTCTTTTTAATTATAGCTGCTTTGAAAAGAAAAAAACAACAGATACATGTTTTAGCCAACTATAAAGCTAGTATAGCTCTAGTAGGTTACTTGTTTACAAATCGAAAAGAGCAATGTATTTAAGGCAATATATCGTCATATTATTTTCATTTAAGCCCATCATATTTCTTTTACTTAGGCTATTTGGATTAATAATCAATTTTGGCGTTGAGAACTTCATAATTAAAAATAAATATATGAAAATATCTAACTATAAGAAGAAGATAGAAAAATTTGACAATGAGCATGGGATATACAGTATTACATCTACAGACAGTGAACAGTATTTCATTGGGGGTGCGCAATCGATGGTTTGTTTCTCATCCTTACACCCCTATGTTAACTTGGTTTCGTCATCAGTTTCTGGGTCATAGCGCGAAATCAATATTTGCATAAGAACGTAGTCCGTCGTTTAAATAACTATAATATTGGCCATATACATTTTAATAAGTATATGAAAAGGCAGTATGGTCTAGGGTCTAATTTACTAAAACTGTAACCAGCGTCCGACTACAGACTACCGACAAATAGGTGCGTTGACGGTTGTACGTGGGTTAGTAATGTTGTCACAGTAGTTTTAGTTTAGCTTTGAGATCAAAATAGATAAAAAAAACACAGAACACCCAAACAACTCCATAAGTAGCGAGACTTTATGGTATTTGCTAAAAACAGGGTAGTACTTGGCCTTGGAAATAAGCAAAAATTACAGATTTTGTCCTTAGCGGGGTCAGTAGGACGGGGGATGTTTTCGTCAAATTATCCAGGCCGTCTGAGCCCATGCGTTACTGTAAACATTTCAATGGATAGGAATAGAAACCACACTCCACAGTAGTTCCGTTGGACTGCAGATTAAATATTTAATATAGGTCTATTTAAGCATATGTATATTTAAGCAACTTAATAAATGATGTTACTGACACTGTGATTTGTGGTCTGAGCCGCACATATTAACGTATGCTATGGATCATAGAGGATGTATACGTTTGTAGGCTTACGATGAATTTAACGTTGTAAGGGGTCGTCCATAAATGACGTCACACTCGTAGGGGGAAGGGGGGGGGGGGGTCCGTAATTTTGTGACGGTGTGTGTTGATGGGGAAGGGGGGGGGGGGGTCAGATGGTGCGACGTCACACTTTTGCATTATAAAAAAGCAATGTTAGAAAACGATGTTTAGACGTTGTTTCGCGTTTTAGAAAACTGTTTTAATAAATTGTAATATGAATTGATTAAAATACTCTATTTTGACAGAGTTTAGTCAAAATTCAACTGCATTTTGAGGGGGGGGGTAGGCTGAGGTGTGACGTCATTTTAGGGGGGGGTCTGGCTTTTTGTGACGACGTGTGACGGCGGGGAGAGGTAAAAATCGTCGAAAAAAAGCGTGACGTCATTTATGGATGACCCCATAATAGGCCTAATAATATTTGCATACATTTTCGTCCATGTGTCAACTAAATTCATGAGATGGCAGGCAGATATAGATCTAGGGCCTATAAAAGAACGCTAGACCTGTAAGTATAAGTGTTTAGTGTAGTGTCCCTGAATTTCGAATCCGTGCGGTATTATAATAAAAAGAGTTAGAGGCAAAATTTAATAAAGAAAATAATATATAGAATATTAAAAATAAATAGTGTTTACGGTACTTAATGTGACTGTAGCACGTGCAAGAGTGCACTGGTTTCGCGTAAGTAAGGACGATTGAGGTTAGGTCAAGCAAGTTAACGGTTTTGGTTCATCCAGATCCCCGTCTAGTAAACATAGTAGACTAGGCTAACCTAAAAAAAAAATTTTAAATGTGAACACAAGTGACGCTTAACCTCCGGCGACCCAAATACATATAATTAAAACACGACTTTCATTTTAAACTTATTTTTATTGGTATACAAGTACTATTGAACTTTTAGATCTATTCATATTCAACTTACCTATAGAAAATACAAAATGTAACTAGTCTGTCACAAGAAAAATTTAAAATGTTACTTTTGGAAGTAGATTCTAGATCTAGATCTTGTAATGTGTAGAACATCAACAGCCACCAACCAACCGCACGAGTTAAAAATAAATATTAGGTTTTCTCCCCTGTGTGTTTGTCATTATTTATTGCTTAGTTTAAAATAAAAAGAGCGCCAAAAGGTAGGCTACTAAATGATTCACCCGTGTGTCGTTTAGAGTAGGCTAGGTGTCACAACATTCTGCACAGTTGTAAATGAGTCAAATCTACTCATAAATTCCGTAAAATGTTAGAAATATAATCAAATCTGATAGTTCCACCCCCCTCCCCCGCCAGAGGCGTAGCGAGGGGGGCGGGGGAACATATGTCCCCGGGCGCCGACCTTAGGGGGAGCGCCAAAATGGGTTGGAAAAAACAAATTAAAAGTTTGAGGGGGGGGGGGGGTGTAAATCAAAAGTTCGAAGGGGATGCAAATAGAAAGTTTGAGGGGGGGGGGAGGGTGCAAATCGAAAGTTTGTCCCCGGGCGTCGGGAAGGGTCGCTACGCCTCTGCCTCCCAGGAATTTGTCATGGGAGGGGTTCAATTTTTTTCCAAATGTATAAAATTATATATATATATATATATATATATATATATGTGTGTGTGTGTATATATATATATATATATATATATCCCCTGGCCTACGCCACTGTATTAGACCTACTTTCCCCTTTTATTTAGCAACGAGACAATGTATAATTGTGTTCTCATTGGTGGGCCTGTTAGTACCAACGTGTCTCCGTTTTACTTCAGTGGTACTGAAGATAAACCCATCCCCTCCAGAACTGCATATCTGGAAGACTAAACTGCGAATTTCTTAACACGAGTAAACTCTACTTCTCATAGGACACGTTCTAGAATCATCCTTTTTTCTCCTTTGTATTTTAATTTGTTCTGGGCCATTCCTCTCTCATCGAGTTGACAGTGAAAATTATTTCAGCAAGGTAATTAGTCTTCATCAGTTAAAAAAAAAAAAATCAGTTAAGTCCTGATTAATCATGTACGCTGTTGCAGGCAGTATGTGACAGAACGACATTAGTCTAGGGGCCTACAATGTAATGACGTCTTACTAAAGGTTGACTCAGCCCAGTTAGAACTCTGTGTACCATTAGAACTTGATGTATTGGCATGGTCGAATGGTATAGAGTTAGCTGCTAGCCCAAAGTTATCGAGTTCGGATCTTTTGGGACTAAGACGTCCCTGAGTCCACCCAGCTATGATGTATACCTGACTTATATTGGGAACAGTAAAAGTGGCTGGGCATAGTGCTGAGCACAAACATATGAACTCTACTTCATCTGCCTAATGGATAGCTAGGTCTAAAGAGGATTCTTTATTATTATTTTTTTACTTAAAATCATCATAACGGTTAACAGCTATTTAATGTTTAGTAGAATAATCAAAATCATGATTGTTACCAAATAGAAACAACTACTAAAACAGTCTATAGCATACTACACCACTGACACACTAACTGGAGCCTGGCATTACCAAAAACAATTCAGCACTCACAGAAAGTATTTTAAAATTTTTCCATTTTTTTATTAGCTTAAAAAATAACAGACATGTCAAGCAACAACAAATAACATGGTCAGTTTTTTTTTTAATAATGAGAAGCAAAATACAACGTCATGATCTTTCATATCACAGCCCAAACCATTTTAGATCTGAACTACATTCAAGGGAAACGATCCTTGTTTGAGCATAAAGGGAGATAACCAGTACATGACTTCTTAGCAAGATTTGTAAGAACACTTTAAATCTCTTTGCATTTTTCATTTTTAAAGAATAGAACAAGGGCACTTTTAAATAATTTGGATCTGTTGTATGAGTGAGCTATCATTATTAACAAAATAAACTGTCCAAAATCTAGGTTTAGAGTTACGGTTATAGGGATAGGTACTGAAATTGTTATTTCATTTCAAGTAGTAAATTTTAGGCGTCTCTGGATTAAAGAGGGAACCCATCAATAGTTATCGACAAGTAAATATTGAAAATATTTTTCAAGAAAACATCTCACAATAAATTTACAGCGTTGATTAACCATCTATTTAAAATTTGGATATATCGCTTTAAAAATTAGATTTTATTTCTGAAAGTTTTGGATAAATTGGCCAAAAAATTTCAATTAAAAGTTATTGATATAAGTTGTTTGAGATAAAACGAAGCAGCCGTTATTTGACCCATTCATATCATTTATTGCTTGTTGGCAAAACTATTGCAAAAATAATCCACATCAAAGCACTTACTTCAAGAGAAAATTACAAAATTACACTTGGTCTTTTGATATTTTGTGCTGTAAGTTCATTATAAAATGTATAAAAAGTTTTAAAAATCATATTCAGTAATTATAAACAATAAATGTGTTTATAAAACAGATTTTAAAATGTTTGGATTACAAATATAGTGCACCTTTCCAAAAATTTATTGTATTATGCAAAAACAACAGTTTTGAGACTTTGACGAATATGGCAAATTTAAACTTTCTGACCAAAAACTGAATGGGCTTATTCCTTTAACAGTAACATTACTAGGGTCAACTTATTCATGTCACAAATAACACTAATTTATTATTTTCAGTGTCAGTTGTTGACAGAAAACCGGCATTAATTTGCACGAAGCCAAACATGAAATTTAAATCACATTTTAATACTGAATCTCGGGGTAGAATAAAGACTTTAACCTGAACAGATTTTGAAACCAAAGCTTGAATAAGTTGTATTACCAATTTTAACAACGGAAAATAATTTTAAATTATGCTATTTAGTTATATACCCAAAAGAAACAAGGCAGCCAATAACTAGCTTTTATGCTTTAGAGTAGCAAAATATTTGTCTCCAAACAAAAAAAAAACAAAACAAGGCTCATAAATCAAGTTGGATGTAATACTTCAAATCAATCAGCTCGCTTGACCAAAAACAAAAAGATCAAGGCAATTCAAATAATAAATGCATTAGGTTTTAAACGAATGATTCCATGCTGGAACTGAAGTATAACATGGTGTTCCTTTAAGGAGCAATCATTGATCATAATAAAACTCTTGGACTGGGTTAGCATACAACACTTATATAGACAGATGTCTTACAACAGACAGCGTGACATACAGACACTGGGGACTAGAGAGCTCTGAACATCTCAAGATAATAAACAGCTACAACATTGCAAACATAATAAGTTTCCCATAGTTCTACATCTAAATTGTCTAACACTATATTAACTTCAATTCCAATACAATAGGGTATATTTGCCTACTACACTGGGCAGTTTCTAAAACTGGGTAACTATAGTTAAATAACCCATGTATAAATTATATGTACGATTTTTATAAAATAAAATCGTAGATACTACATGATATACACTCTTATTGTGCTGTACTAAATAAAAACAATAGCACTTTAAAAAAAAAGAAAAATTTATGCATCATTCAATATTTGAGATCTGAAAATAACAGTTTTGATACATGAATAATCGAATATAGAAAATAAAACTTTCTTACTAATAATGCAGATCTTGCAAACAATGTAAAACCTTATAGGTCCCAGCATTAATGTAAATGAACTAAAAATACACTTTTTAATCAACTAGTTAACACAAAAATGTCTAAAAAGGTCCAAATATAAAAAATATCACAAGAGATTAAATATTATTACTTCACTTATCACATATATGAATCAATCAAGTAAAAATGTATTATTCATTAATATGATCTCATAATCACTTGCAAGCATTAAAATTACTGAAATAAGCTTTGCAATGCTCAAATCTTAAACATTAATTAATTTTAAAACGTTACAGTCATTAGTATTTTATGAAATTACAGAAAGATTAATATAAGTACTGTGAAATGAAATCAAGATTTTTTTCTCATAACGAACATGAAACCCCTCACATACCAAAACCTATCATTATTAGTCATGTGGAATTGCCAGAATTAAAACAAAAATCCATTTCCTTTTCTGGTTGTTAATAAATATGTTCCTTGTCTTTTATAGATAAACCACAACCTTAATCTGATCATCAATTTACAACAGTTTACAACTTAAAAACAAATCCTAACATAAACACAGAAACAGGTACACAAATAAACATAGGCTTAGAAAGCATATTTACTCTAAAGGTACTCTAGGACAAGTTACAGCATTTTGACAACCACAAAAAAAAACCATGCCAACATTTTGCAATATTAAAAGCCATTGTTGACTAAAAAAAAAAGAAATAATTCCCATCTATACATAAGGCACTTGCACTGACTTTAAATTGTATACATTGGTGACAAATATTGAAATCAGAAGTATTGTTTGATTAGTTCATTAACATGCCATTTATTTTTTAAAAAAAGCTAAAATTCTGAACATTTCTTCCATAGAAGAGAAATAATCCAGAACCATCCTTATTTTATACATTATTTTATAAAACCTAAGAAAACTACAACGTGTCTTTTTTCCTACATTTATTTATGTGGCTAACAATACCTAGCGCTCCACCAATAGCAAATCTAACGAAGTTATCTCCTACCAAAGGCCCCATGGCAAACATCTGCGGCTCGCGAATTGACTGGTAAGAATACGCATCCACATCCATTATATTGTGTTTGCTGTCTATGGGCCACTTGGGGACAACACCCAAACATCGGCCTTCACGAGGCAAAAATCCCAAGTCAGATCTGGATCCAATCATGATGGCTACACACGATACGTCAAACCAGACCAAGGAATCTGTAAGTTTGGATTTGACCAGGACTTTATTGTCAATAATTTCAACTATTGTGTGTCGGGGTAAAGCTTTATACAGCTCATTTGTCTCTTTCCCTTTCATGAGATTGTGAATTTGATGGTATTCCGGGTACATTGATTTGGGTAGTTTTGAGAAAATGAGGGATGGGTCGGTAGGATTGCGTCGGAAAACGTGAATAACTGGAATGTTAGACTCCATGGCCATGAGAATAGCATCCGCTGCACTTAATCCAGCCCCGACGACGACAACAGGATCTGGTTGTGTACAGTTAAGTATCTGTTGCTCCAGTTCTCCTAAACAATGCACAACACAAGGCAGATTTTCACCATCAACCCCCAGGCGGTTAGGAATGTCATAAGCACCAGTGGCCAACACAACATGAGGGGCCACGTAGCAGAACTCCCTCCGTGCAACAGGCTGCCCTTCGTCGTTCATGATTGTATGGTAGCCCCTGACCTCCCAGCAGTGGGTGTGGTTTCTTCTGACGTTCTGACAGCAAGGCTCCACCTCCCCACTCTCACTGTCTACGTGATTTCTTAAGTGAAACACGCGCTGTACTGAAGTGACGGTGTGAAAATCTTTGAAGTATTTACTCAGTCTCTGTGTTTTCACATAGTCACTGTAATATTCCTTGACATCACTGATTGTAGCACGACCAAGCATGTTTTCTGCTTTTGTTGTGTGCCTGCAAAGATCATAAAATATAAATTGTTTTTAAAAAATGCATAAAATTAACCAACTTATCAAAACAATAATACATTAGCATTTAGCAATACAAATACTAAATTGGCATGAAAAATATTATGTAAAATAGCATGAAATGTGTGAACAAAATATCCATAATTTTACAGCTTAAATCTGCCAATCAAATAACTAAAGTAATCCTACCTTTGTTTAGCAAGCCATTCCTTAAATGGAACTCCAGGCAACTCCATCCAAGAATTCTGGCTAATGGTTTGCATAGCACCATCAATTTTCTATAAAGGAGTTTTTAAAAATGTGGTAAATATATTTTGGCCTTAATTCAACATACAATATCAATTAAAGGTCAGGTAAGCAATGCATCATTTAAAATTAACCACTAAATTAATAATTACAACACATTTTCACAGAGCAAATACTTTATACAAATTATTTTAGACCAAGACTAATTTCTAGAGTAGACCGAAATAGTGTTGCATGCTTCTTTACCTGCCAAGTACCTCCAGGTTTAGTTTTCCCAAGGATTACATGAGGAATTTCATTTTGTGGCTGATAGTTCCATTCTAACACAGATGGAATATCTGCCCCAAAATCAGCATCAGGGTGAAAAAGGCTGTCAAATAATAAGGCAACTGGATTGTTGGATCGACCCTCCAAGCCTTCACTCAATGTTGGCAAATCCTAAAAGTAAACAATTTTTTTTTTATTAAAATAAATCCTAAAACTACACAAGTTAGCATTGTCAATGCACTTCTACTAATTTGACCAATGTCAGTTTCAGAGTTAAATGGGCTATATTTATTTGTAATAGTATGCTATAAGTATTTAAAATGAAAAAGATAAAAGGCATGACAACAAGATAAACATGGATAAGACTTAATTTAAAACAGGCGACAGACTAAAAACTTACTTGATCAACTAAAGAAATCCCCATGTTCTCTTGGAGTCTTCGTGTCAGAAACTCATTGGAAAGTGTTAGCCCATTGTAGAAAGGCCTGTTGCCAGCCAACATATAGGAAAGTGAAATTGCAGATGGGCCATTTCCTGTGAAAAAATAATGTCATTAGGATTGATTGAAACTATAAAAAAGGGTAATCTTTAAAAGTGATCAGGATATTTGAGCCTATTTTAATCTCCACTCTCCCAGTTAAAAAATAACTAATTCCAACAAAATATCAATTCTAAATTCTTTTTTGTTTATGGAAATACAAATAACTCAATTAAGCCTATATAGTCTGTAGCCTACATGAATATAAAGTAATAAAAGCTTTCCTTACCAACAACAATCACTTCAGTGTGCATAGTTACTGGCTGATGAGGAGATACTTCTGAATTCATCTCGTATCTTAGAAGTCACAAGTATTCAGCAGCAGTTTTTTTTTAAATTATCTTTCTTAAGATACAGTAGCTCCTAGTACAATGTTCCTTTCACTTTTACAACATATGCCAACAATGGCAAAGGCACATTACTGTCATTCCCTATTTTCAAGAAAAACAAATGTATTATTTAGATATCTAAGGTGTCTATTATAGATCTAATATACAAATAAAACTGACATTTATATATGATCCATTAAGAACATTTATTTGATAAAATAAACAACCTAATCATATGACATGGGAGTCTAGATCTATAATCATGAAGATTGAAGATGCTCCAGAAATCAAACTTTTGCTAACATTAAATAAATTGAACAGCCTAATCAAGGCAATAAGCTAATCCACTGGTCTAGAATCTAGAAGTAGTGGACCCAGTGAAGAAAGCACTTTTTGATGAGTAGTCTAGACGCGCCCCCCCCCCCCCCCCCCCCCACAGCTGGCCAAACTTTAAATTTCATTTGACTCATCATCAACCTAAATTTAAAATTATTTATAAATTAAACCTCCTACTAGATCTAGATCTAGAGTCTAAAACTAGATCTAGATCTACTAGATTCTAATACTAAATAATAAATTCTAAGAGTCTAAGATCTAGAATCTAGATTAGTAAGATTAGCAGCATTCTAAAAATAGTAAAATTCTATGATTCTAGCAATCTAGCTTACTTAATATTAAATTTTAAATACACAAGCTTAGCTAGATCTAGACTAGTCCGACTAGTCTAGACTCTAGATCTAGATTAGAACTAGAATCTAGATTTTCTAGATCTAGATCTTATAACTAGATCTAGATCTAGACGATTAACGCGTGAGGCGAACAAACTCACCCTTACACCAACACGGCAAGCAAGCAGATAGTCTAGAGTCTAGAGTCTAGGCAAGTCTAAGAACACGCGTACCCGGCTTTTTTCTTAGTCACGTCCTACCGCTACAAAGAACTCATTTTGAATAAAATAAATCTAGATCTAGATCTGCAATAATTCTACAATGTGCAACCTCTATTTAAGGAACAAGTACACATATGAAAAAATATTGACTTACTTTCGTCAGTTACATGGTTAAAAAATAGTATTATCCGTTAAACATTCGGAACAGACATGGAAGCACTAGCAGACCGTGCTCCGAACTATTTATCCTCAGCCATGACACAGCTTTTTGGCGTACGCGTTCGTGTTTATTTTTATACCTCATTCGATTGGTTAATGCTGGAAAGCCAGTAAGCCATCTCTTCTTGTGGGGTTGAATATTACTATTGGCATATTTTATTTCTGTTGTGATTTTTATGAATTTGTAGCTCAAATTGTATCAACGCTCTGTGTTGGCCATATTTAAATATTTTGTTATTTATGTGCTTATATTGCAGTATATATGCTTAAATTTTTAATTGCATGACATTTTTAATGATAGACCTATTTCAGTCTAAAGATGCATAGTTGAAAGCAAATCGCTCCACAATTATAACATCTCGAAAAATAAAAGAATTCTAGTTCTAATAACCAGGTCAAAAGTCAAATGCTTTTTAAATATTAAAATTTTAAAAAATCATTCGACTGGACCTTCTTTGGTTCTTCTTTGATTGTAAGATAATATATAGAACCAGTAACGAATGTTTTTTTCTGAAGAAAGTCTACCGCTGTTGGCTTTTATATAGAAAATATATACTTTTACCAGTGTCCGCACCCCTCCCCCCTTTGATTCTTCGTTGATTGTAGGACAATATATAGATCCAGTAACGAATGTTTTTTTCTGAAGAAAGTCTACCGCTTTTATATAGAAAATATATACTTTTACCAGTGTCCGCACCCCCCCCCCTCTCTGGAAAATTTAGTCCACCCCCCTCAAAAATATCAAGTGCCCCCTCCCCCGAAGAAAAATTCTGGAATAAACACTGCAGTATTGCTTGTATGTAAGCAGAATTATTTTTAAGAAAAGTTAAGGATTCGGGTTAAAGACAATAGCTAAAATTAACTTAGTAAAGAATCTGCAACTCTACTTTGGTATTGTCTATATGTTAGAATATCATAAAAAGCTTCAGTCAAATCGCGTGTCATCTTTATCCCGGACCGTACCAGTTTCATCTTGCTAGTGGTGAAGAACATTCATTGAACAGAGCGCTTCTTTATTTTTGATACATGTCTTGTAATCATTGGTCAAATCATGTACTGATCTAATCCGGGGCGGCACGGTTAAAACCGCCATCAGCCTGTCATCATCATTAATTAAGCCAGGCGGCACAGTCTTGTTAAGATGACAAGTTACCGTGTTAGATCACACCTCACCCTCTGTTTGTGTTGTTGTTTTATTTCTAGTTGATTCTCTGGTTAAAAGCTGTCTGTTTTCAATGTCAGATAGTTCAAGTGCAACTAAAAATAGAGTTCAAATACCGCGTGTTCTTAGAACATCATATATCCTAATACATTACCATTATCATCAGAGTTTCTTCCAGGCATCTCTTTCGGGGGGGGGGGGCGAGGCCCCCCGAAACATTTTTACCCCCCCCCCCCCGAACGAAATGAAATTTATATAATTTATATAGAAAATATATACTTTTAACAGTGTCCGCCCCCCGAAGAAAGTTTACCGCCCCCCCCCCCCCCCGAAAATTTCAAGTGCACACCCCGGAGAAAAAAGTCTGGAAGAAACACTGATTATCATCATTCATGTGAACTCCTTATGGAGCATGGAGACTCGATATCTCCATCGCACTCGGTTTGGGGAGATCCTTCCAAGGTTTGTCCATGACAACTGACCTTTTCCAAAAGTGTTTTGGCCCGTCCATTTTTCTCTTTCCTTATCAATTCCAACCTAATGCCTGCCTGGTGGTGTTGTTAGTTGGTTTACGCACGGTGTTCTATCCATCGCCATTTGTGCTTTTGTATTTCCGATTTGTGTTTTCAAAAACTTCGGTATTTTTATTTTTCTCAGGCCACCTGATGTTCAATAAGAGACGCAGGCGTCCGTTTTAAGGTTGCTGTTATTAGTTTGTGACGCTCTCCAGGTCTCAGAACCATAGAGGACAGATTTCACGTTATTGTTAATTCAATCGTTGTATACCGGAAAGTGTAGACGGTGCCCTTGGCGTCTAGGTGTTGAGAACGCACCTGGCATTCCCGATTCAGCATTTGATGTCCTCATCTACTCCCATATCTTCGCTTACTATACTTCCTAAATTTATGAAGCGATCCACCCCCGAAGTAATCGAACATTGTATCTAAAGTGGCAGCTCCTGATTGTTGCTAAGTCTCATCACGTCTGTTTACTACCTGTTCATCATTAACCCTGTGTTTAGCGCTTCGTCTGCGAGTTGGTTAAATCTTGACCAGTTCAGTCAATGACGATTATAAAGACCCTTTTGCAAAAGCATAAGGACTTGCGGTATTTGGGCTTTCAGTGAAAAGGGGTTGGTCAAGCATTAACCTACTGCAACTAGGCCATATTAAGATCACCCACTTGCATTGATCGTGTCTTTCTGAGCGTGCATCAAACTTGCTGATATTGATAAAATCTAAGATGGTCATGTTCGTGTACTGAAATATACGCATTATTAACTTGTACTAAAATATACGCATTAATATCATGTGCAGAGATATACGCATTAATATCATGTACTGAAATATACGCATTAATATCATGTACAGAAATATACGCATTAATATCATGTGCAGAAATATACGCATCAATATCATGTACTGAAGTATACGCATTATTAACACGTACAAACTTAAATATACGAATTAATATCATGTACTGAAATATACGCATTAATATCAAGTGCAGAAATATACGCATCAATATCATGTACTGAAATATACGCATTAATATCATGTACAGAAATATACGCATTAATATCATGTACTGAAATATACGCATTAAGGGGTCGTCCATAAATGACGTCACACACGTAGGGGGGAGGGGGAGTCCGTAGTTTTGTTACGATGTGTGATGAGGGGAAGGGGGGGGGGTTCAGATGGTGCGACGTCACACTTTAGCATTATAAAAAAGCTATGTTAGAAAACGAATTTTAGACGTTATTTCGCGTTTTAGAAAACTGTTTTAATAAATTGTAATAGACATTGATTAAAATACTCTATTTTGACTGAGTTCAGACAAGATTTTGGAAAAATATCGATGTTTAAAAAAAAAATTCAACTGCAATTTTGAGGGGGGTTGTAGGCTGAGGTGTGACGTCATTTTAGGGGGGGTCTGGCTTTTTGTGACGATGTGTGACGGAGGGGAGGGGGGGGGGGAGGTAAAAATCGTCAAAAAAGCGTGACGTCATTTATGGATGACCCCTAAATATGTACAGAAATATACACATTAATATCATATACTGAAATATACGCATTAATATCATGTGCAGAAATACACGCATTGAGTATTTGATGTCCAGAAACTTACATTGCCAGTCAAGTGTTTTATTAGTTTTAAAAAAAAAAAACCACATTATTAAATCTAACACGCGCAGCACCAATGTCAGTGTGATAGATTGGCAAACACTGACGAGGAGCCACATTGGTTGTTAACAGTCGTTATTTACAGCCATGAAGGAAAGAGGAAGAGGAAGTACAATGCACAAGGGACATCACTCAAGATAACAATATAAATATAATACTAATACAGAAGAGTGAGTTCCCTTGACCTCACAATTATCTCAATCTATTACAGTCAGTAATTAATTAACTGTAATTAGTTGGTACAACTGCACATTAACCTACACTGCAAAACTATGCTTCCTCTAGATAAGCAGACGTCAAAACTACTTCTACCAACCGCTTGTGGTCCTTTAAACAAGTAAATTTGTTGTTTTCATTATAAGTATACGATATTATAACATAGATAATTGGCAATGAATAGGTCTTATATAATTATATTAGCTTTCCTGTTGAACTAGTTATTACAATTTTAAAGTTTCATAGCAAAAATATACATTTAATTTTGGCAGACTACATAGGTCTAAAAAAAATTCTGTTTAAATACCTAGCACAAATCTAGCTCTATTTATTGAAAATTGTGAAAATTCAGCAGAAATGTTCCAATCGTAGCTATAGCATCAACCACATGTTTACATACCAAACAGGTGACAAAGTAGTTGAACGAACTGGTACCAGACACTGGAACTAAAAGTAGATTTTCTCGAGACAAAAAAAAGGCCACTAGATTGTAGGAGACGTTAGGGCAGGCATGGGTTTACTGGGACAAGATAAAGAAATAGCCCATTGTTTCTAGACATGTATTTTTTTAAAAGTGGCCCACGATTTCCTAGTCTCTCACTCACACAAAATGCAGTGCATCACGAATGAAAGGCGTGCAGTGTGGGGTCATGACCCTATACGAACTTTTCTATTGATTTTCATCCGGTGAAGAGAAAAAGCAGACGCCGTGTCTGCGCGCCTAAAATATAGGAGGTTTACAGTACCCATGCAAATAAGATAAAGACGGTAATCGATCTATCTTAGTCCATGTGGTTTAAAATCTTTAACAATCGCAAGAGATAATGTCGGTTCTTGTTTTTAAATAAATAGCATTCAGCATCGTCTTGGTTTTTTTTTTCGGTATCTGTGTTAGGGACAGGCTTAGAAATAAGGATATAAGCATGGGATTATCGTCTCCATTTGGGTTGTGTAATTGTAACTGGGCTTATGCCTAACACCAGGGTTTGGGTAGCACTTCTACATTCAAACACATGCAAATTAACGCTGCCCTTACAGCAGTGTTTCTTCCAGAGATTTTTCACGGGGGTGGGGGGGGGGGGGGGGGGGGGGGGGGGGAAATTGATATTTTCGGGGGGGGGGGGGCATTGGTAAAAGTATATGTTTTCTATATAAATTCCATTTCCTTCGGGAAGGGGGGGGGGCGGTGGGCTAGAAGAAACTCAGCCTTACAAGTTGCCTACACTAACGTATTAATGTGTACTCCAGCAGATTAGCTTATTATTTGAAGTTATATTTTAATGTATGTAAATATAACCATACACATACCGTGTTATTTGAAAACAAACGAAGCCTAGAAAAACTCCCTTCAATTATTTGTGTTACCATTGTGTTCAAAACAAAACCAATAATCAGCTAAATGTGCGTTTTCCTTGTGTAATTTTCTAGTATTACAAAAAGATTTTAAAATAATGTAAGATGACTGAAAGGGAGAG